AATGAGTACACTGATTTTCTCTTACATCATTATTGTGATATGTCTTCTGTCTAGTCCTTAGTTCTGGAAAAATTTACTACTTTGACAAAGTGAGGAAGGGAGTGACCACAGGTTGAAGATTCAGGCATTTCCCTTTCATTTATTAAAAGCTGTAAAGAGCTACTAACATACGATTTTAAAATGCTTGATGATCTCCAGCATCCCCAGTGCCAAGACGCATACTACTTGGAAGCACATTCTGAAAGTTAGCAAATATATGTTATAGGCACGTGACCTTTACTTTCCAAAATTTATCTTCCATTTTCACTCTAAATATTTTTGCTCAGTGGAAAAATAATGGCCAAAGGAAAAGGAGCATCTGTTATCCAGACAGCAAACTCTGATGCAGCCAAAAATGTTCCCTTGGCTTTCAGTATTAAAGAAAAATATAATTACATGATCTGTTAGTGGTTGGAGGGGGTATGAAAGGGAAGCTGCTTAGCAAAACTAAGTGAACTAGTGGAAAAATGGATAATCTTTTAATACTCAAAATATGTATGTTTAAGAAATATAGTAATTTAGGGTTAGACATTTTTCAGATGAGTATGACTGTGTGAACGACTAAGTACCAAATAAGATTTCTCTGAACAGGAAATACCTCTGGTCACTTTACTAAACTTTCATCATTTGTGCACAATGAGAGAAGAGACTGACATGCTCAATTTTAAACTAAATCATCCCCACTTGATTCAGCAGCTTGTGGTAGGCAAGGAACCTTTGTCATCCAAGGTAAAAGTGAGGTAAGCAAACTTAAAAATGTCATTCCTAAGTGAGCTTGTTGCTCACCTTAGCAGTAGTTGCTTTACATTAAAAGGGTTTATTCTGAAAATCACAGGTATTGAGTCCCACAGTCTTTTGTCCCTGTACCACTGCTGAAGACAATGGAAATATCAGAAATGCACCATATGAAATCAATACCACATAAATAATTTACTGTGGGTTGTACTTCTTGCTCAAAAGGACTAAGATTTTTGTAGTCAGAACATTAATTTCCACTGTAATTATTCCACGTTCTAAAGAAAAATATAATCTTTCTACTAATTTCACTGGACATCAGATCACACTCTGAGTCACCAGAATCATACTGCCATCTGTTAATTGTACAGCAAACTAGCTCAAAGCAAGCACACAATTGATAAAAAAGATAAACAAGATAGCTTCATGATTTTTTAATGATTTTTAGGAGTTCAGCATTTGCTCAGGTCATCAACCAGAAAACCATTTGACATTAAGAGGTATTGCATAGTTTTTAAACATGTGTAACTAATGCTTAATTTTAAAATCCAACCAAAACACAGTCTAGAAACACACAAAAATAATATAATTAAGATTAAACATTTTTAGATATAATTTCTTAAAAAAAATATATATTACGAAATGACAAACTAAAAAATAAAAAACCCCACCATATTTCTGTCCCAGTATTTTTATAGCTACACATAACACTTTGATGGCTAGCTGGTATACAAAGTTAAAAGAGATTTATTTTCAGCATGCCTTTCTTGAGCAAGAGATAGCCTTCTTTGTACAGTCACTTTCACTACAATTATGTTCTCTCATTGCTTTAAATGGATTAACATGTTAACAGGAAGTAAAAACCATTTTAAGAGAAAGTAAGGAAGGTAGTAGTGAAAACTGGTAGCAAGAATGGCATTTGCTATTTTTAGGTAAATTTACTGTGTATTTTCAGTGTCTCTGTAGCACAGCATTAATCAAACTTTAGTGCAAGTGATTATCAATACCTAGAAAATCAAAAGCACCTGCTGATTATAAAAATATCCTTTTAAATAATCACTTCCAAATTGCCTTGAGTTCAAATGTCATGTTAAGATCATTTCATCTTACAAGGGCATATATGACAAGTTACCTGAGAATTGGAGAATGTTTCAGCCCTTTTTTGTTCAAAAGAATGTATTTTAGCTTCACTCATCTTATCTGAGTCTGCTAAAATATAATGTCTAGGAGAGTATGACTCTGACAAACAGCTAAGTAACCTCAGGATTTCTGTTGTATGCCCACCTGTAAAAAACAAAATAAACTCTAGTTAGTATGTGAAAAATTTTGTAACTTTCAATTTCTTCAGCTGTAACAGTCACTTTTCCTTTTAAAACTTATTAGTACTGCCATTATCAGTGATGCCCTTCTGAGAGTAGAGGATTCAATTAAAGGATGGTTGAGACTGTTTAAGTAACATGAAGATAATTCAGCTCCCACTGAAACTATTTTGCTTAAGTTTTTCAGTTAAATGGGATTGAATCAGGATCACACAGAAATACAACATTTGTGTTTAACATCTTGTATATGATGCAAAAACAACCGGGTAAAGAGTTAAATTGTAGTCCACACTCAAAAGCCATACCCTGGTGCAATGGTCCAAATGAAGCTGGACAGGATGCGGCTCAGAGCTGCGTCACAGAAGCGTAACTCCACTGACCCTACCCGGTGTTTGGTCCTACAGCCTGCAAGAGCAGGGGCTGCACTATCCCAGCTCATCATACTGAAAATCAAGCAGGCAGCAATTTCACTCTGCAGCTATGCCAGTGTACAAACTGAGTGCTGACAGAAGAAACAGTCCAGCTCCAGCCAAGTGCTTTAACCAGTGTCCTTGAATGGGTGTTGATAACCTTCTAACTGCAAGGTCGCTTTGTTCAGGTAACTAAGTTGGTCCTAAACTGGAGAGAAGGGGAAGGTGTACTTATTGTACTTTTTGGAATCAGGGTGGTTTGTTTGTTTGTTTGGTTTTTTGTCAGTTGAATTTCCTGAACCAGAGTTACAAGAATACCTGTAACAGGGGAAGAAGGGAGAGGAAGAATTGTATGTGTAGGTAAAGTGAGCCAGCTCACCTTTTATCTGTTGGGCTGGATCAGCTTAACATCAAACTGCACCCGTAAGTATATGCATAAGCATTTACTGGATGTGTTACTCTTCACTCTGCTGGAAGTTGCAGACCAAAATAGTAAAGCAAATGTATTCCTACTACCTTCTGCTGTCCAGTGTTATCAGTCTCCTAAAAGACCTTTGTTTCAAGTCAAGCACTCTTAGCTGGCAAACAACTGACAGGCAGTGAGAGCTATGGTGTTGCATTAGACACGAGAGTTTGCTACCTTTCCACAGAATTTCATGCAGTATCTTTCAAACGTGTTTGGAAGGATTTTCTCATGAGTGATGGTTTGTTGAAGCTTTCACAAATTTTAATGTAATCATCTAAATATTCACAGAAGAGCAGGATATTCCTATTTCAAAAATGCTTCAAAGAACGTGCTCGAACATTATATGAGTATTAACTGTTTTAGGAATTATTTCACCCGGTAAACTTATGTATAGTAAGTGTGTTTTTCAATATGCACAAACTAGATTCCAAAGAACTGAAGGAAAACAAGCACTTTTCCAGCCCTGGTGGAAGTAAAGATGTCCTGAAAATTTATAAAACTGCCAGTCAAACTCAGATTGCAGAAAGACCCTGGGATTATTGCTCAATTAGTCAGTGTTCAAAACACCACAGGGATACTGAGGTGATGAAATCAAGGCTTGCCTGGATTTGTCAACTGTAAATTTTCAAGGTAGTCTAATTTTGGGGGCCAAATTAATTGCCCTGCAACTTTGGGGATGTACAAGGAGTAGCAGATGTTGTGTCTGTTGCCTTAGTGTGGGGTGACACATTTGAACAGCAGTACTGTCTCTGACAGACCCACATGAGACTCTTGTAAGTAAATCACAGAAACATGGTTTGGGTAAAATTATTACAAAATGTTGTGTATGTAAGCGGTGTACCAATCTTTGGAAAGCCTTGCCATTAATCGCCATCAATAATTTTCTGTCAGAAGACCAAGCAGCTGCGCAGGTCTGTCCTGCATCAGTTTTAGTTAATATATTCTCTAATAACTTGGGTGAAACGCAGGCACCGTGTGAAGGAAAGGTTTGGAAACCAAACTGTCAAACACAAATATGGACGAAAACGCCCCAAATTAAGATGAAGCTTAACAATTATTCAAACGAAGAACTCAAAACCCCCACGGATAGGAGGCAACCCCGAAGGCGCCCGACCCGCGAAGAGCCGTGGAGGGCACCTCGCCAACGGCTCCAGCTACATGGCCGCCGGCGGGCAGGCCTCCCCTCAGCCCGCCGCCCTCTACCGCGACTACAGCTCCCGGCATGCATCCGGACGCAACGGCGACGGCCGCGCTTGCCCTGGCTCTGCGCTGCATGCTGGGAGCCGTAGTTCCTCAAGCCCGCCGCGGACGCTCTGCGGTAACCGCAGTAGTTGCTGGCGGCAACTCCTACTCACCGGAGCCCGCCACCACCAGGAGCCTGAGGGGAGGCGTCGGCCGGCCGCGGCGCCTCCTCGCCAGGAGCGCCAAGGGGACGAGCAGCAAGGGGGGGAGGAGGAGGAGGAGGAAGAGGGAGACAGGCAGCAGGGGCTCCATGGCGCCTGCCCGCCGCCTGCCTGGAAACGGGTGGTAGCGCCTCCCGGCCTACGGCAGCCGCCGTGGCTCAAACCTCGCCGCGTCTCCAGCCGCTGCCAGTGGCGGCGGGGGGGATCCCCGGCCAGCGGGTCGCGGGGCGGCCCGGCAGCCCCGGGGGCGAGCGGCGGGCGCTGAGGGGCCGGGCTGGGCGCGGGTGGGCGATGCGTGTTAGCGGTAATAAAGTGTGAGGCGCTCGCTAAGCGTGAACAGGCTACGCCGGTGCTCCTGAGCGTGTTTGACGAGAGTAGTCGTTTGGTTGACGAGAGCAGCAGAAACCGGCCTTCACCCCTTCGGCTGCCGATCGGTGCGGTCCGAGGAGCTCCGAAATGCTCCCGTGCCAGAGCCTGGCCGCGAGGGTAAATAAGTAGTGATGCCTTCAGAATATTGCATGCCGAGCCAGGCCTCCGGGCCCCCAGCCTGCCTTTTCTGCATGGGTTGCAGTCAGCTGGGAAGAGATCTAACAGCTTTTATTAATTTGTAAATTGAGCAATACATACTGAAGAAGTAGCCATGTAGCCCCACTAACACGTACAGATTACTGCAGGAATTTGCAAGCATGCGTAGGCACAATCTTTATCCAGGTATGTATGCTTCCATGTAACTATAATTTTACATAGCCTACAGTAATGCATAAAATTAAGAATATTAATATTTCACTGCCTCTCACAAACCTTGTTTCGATTAATTCTAATACTTTAGCCTTTTATTTCGGTATGAAGCGTGGAGTAACAGATCAGCACTCTTTTCATCTCTGTCAGCATCCGGTCTTTGTTGGGGAGATGGTGATGATTCAGCCATTGGACTAATCTCAGATGAGATGTGCGTTTGCTAGAAAGAGTAAGATATTCCATTTTATGATTAGGAAAGAGTAGAATTTGTTCATCATTGCCCTCAAATTATCTGCCTGGGAGCGAGGCCCTCCTCTTGGCCTGCAAATCAGGATAAATGAACTCCAGAACTTTTTGGAGTAGTTTGACACTATTGCTTTAGGGGGTGACTTGTCAAGCACATGAAACGTGACAGCTGTACACTTGTATCTCAAGTGCACAAACACAATAGATTAAAGACATTGCAATTCTGCATCTGTCTGCCATGGTTTCTCTGGCTGTTTTTCTTCCGCTTGTTCATTCCGAACAAGTTGGACTTTTTGTATCCCTACCAGCCCTGGAAGCTGAATGTTTCTTTCTCATTTTTAACAAACGCTTGTGCCAGTTATGGATTCCAGTGGTTATTGCATAATTTTTAAGTAAAACGTATACTTTCTAGCTACCCTTTGCCATCTTAGGATCTGAAGTAAAGTGAATCTTTTTGATTCATGTCTCTCAGTTCTACAGATTATGTTTTGTTTTTCTTTACATCAATGCAACGTATAATTTTGCTGTTTTAAGCAGAGACTATTAAAAACAATGTTACCGTGGTAAGGTCTTCCACCCAAATGAGTAACCTCACAAAATATATCTCACTGCTTAATTATTGTTGACATTTGGAAACAACAAGGTTTTAATTAATAGTTCCATTGATGATACATGAATTTAAAAAATCCATTTTGCTTTCCACTTAATTAGTCCCTAATAACTAGGGACAATAGAGATGCAAGTCTCTAAGTTACAAAAGAAAGAGGAAAAAAACACCACAGTCCTTTTTCATAAAATAAACTATGTTAAAACGACAGTAAGTTCTATAGGGAATTTAAATACAAATTTTGTCTGTGGTGATCTTTCCCCTCTTGTACCTTCTTCAGTGAAAATAATGTCACTGATGTAGAATGCATCCCAAGTTGCCACTGGGGGTGTAGCTAGCAATTGCTTTATTTAAGGATTTTTTTTTTTCCCAGGGCTTTTGTATATCTCCTCTTTTGTTCTTATTTTTCTTACCATAAGAAGTGTTAAAGAGCTGATTTTTATTAGGCATTTTCTTCAGAGAAACAGTCATGGAATCTTAGCATCAGTGAGTGATATAAAAAACGTCAACTTATTTTCTCCTTTTCATGTTATTTCTTCTGTAAGTACATACTTCTTTTATAGAATTCTTCTGTAAGGCTATTTGGTGAAATTAATGAGAAACTCGCCTAAACCCAGTAAAGTTGGAAGGGTGTTTTTTTGCTAGGCAGGTTGTTTAAAAGCAAGCAGAAAAATAAAAGTGATGCATCAGGGAGATACACCTGCAAAGCAAAGATCCTGACTTTCAAGGAGTCTAAAAAGCTAACCAGTGAGTTTGCCTCATAAACTTCCTAGAACAAGTGTTGGAAGTCTTCTTATTCATTGGGAATTCTGCTTGAATAAGCAATACAGCTTTCAAGTGGTATCCACAGCAGATTGCAAGGTTTGAGGGAAGAGTTAGAGTTTGGTGAGACTGTTTAAAATAATTTTACAGATTGAAGCAAAAGTCTAGTTGACATAAAGTTTTACAGATTTTTTTTTTCTCCTTTGTGAAAATTGAATCCATGAAGATCCGATTTGCAGCATAACACTGCTAATTACATTTTTTTTCTCAGAAGGGCATAGGTATATATGTGTTTTGTCATCATGGCAACTCCCTGCTCACTTGATACAGACAATGTTCTGGACCAGGGAGACTTCAGTCCAAGAACTGTAAGAGTCATGGAGCAAGCAGGCTGCTCTCTGCTCATTCAACTTCGCTGCATGCTTGGTGATCGATTCTCATCTGTCAAGCGCGTTGAGAATGCTTCATCTCAGTATCAGACATGCATGTGAAAGTTAATATGAAAAAGCAGTAACTCTCCCAATGTTTAGCACGTCATGGTCACATTAGCTAAATAATGTGAAGCAGATGAAGTAGAGGACATATGTGAGGAAGGCAATGGCTAGTGCTGGATACTATTCTCAGGTCTGTAAAACTAGTAATACTGCAAGTGAATGTGTAACCTGTTTGGGAGGAAGCAACGCACTTGCCCTGAAAAGTTGTTTGACATAAAGTGATGCAAGTTCAGTAATTACAAGGGCTGTCTCTGGTACCTCTGCTACTGATGCAGGAAATTACTTTGAACTTCTTTACTGAAGGAGAATTAAACCATGCTCGTTCTAAATAATTGATCACTGTTGTCCAAAAGAAAACTCTGAAACTCTTGAATAGGAAGAAATAGGTTTTTATAAAATGGTATAATTTTTTTTTTTTCCATTTACTGATTGTAAGATAATGTTCAGAAGAAAAACCTGCTGCTATCCTTTTCGTATGTGAATATTCCACACAGAAGCTTACTAGTACATCTGCTACATGTCTCCTTTGAAAGTTATACTGGTGAGTACTGAACTGAACTGAGGAAACCTTACTGTCTTTGTGTTTCAGTTTCTTTTGTCTCCAATAGGAAAGGCTGCAATTAGAATATAAACAAAAGTATTTTTTTCCCTGAAATGAAATGTAGGCAGCTTTGGCTGTCTGATGGTCATTCACTTTCCGAGATTCTACTTCAAAGTGATCTAACTTTAACTGTTAAACAAGAGTGTCTTTCCATGCAACTGAAATACACCTTATATTCATGATTTCTTAACTGGCATTTTGACTAATTGCTTTTTTTCCCTCTAATTATGGATTCTAGAAATGGACCTATGAACAAGAGTGATTGTGCTGCTGCTTTCTTAAATGAGGTCATTTTGCCTTGTTTTGGACTAGAGTGCAGCTCCACAAGAAGTCGCATCAGCACAACTGAGGGGTAAACTAGCAAAATGGTAGAAAGAGTTGGGTGAAGAAAAGGGCAGGAACATCTTAGTCAGGCTTTGCTCCTGGAAAAATTGCAGTGTGGAACCATTTATCATGTTAAACATTGGTTATGTATTAAATGTATCTAAGTATTATTTTTGGCATGACAATATCATAGAAGTGATTTGAAAAACAAGATATGTAAGTAAACGATTTTCTGTAGAAAGTAGTTATTTCTTTTTATGTGCTTATGGTGTTTTTAGAAACATGAGGAGCAGTGATATTATGATGTGGTGAGAGAAAACCTGAAGACTTCTGACTGGGTTCCTAATGGTTCTTTAATATTAGAAATGAAAGCTGCATCTGGAAGACTCTAGAGCAGTAACAACATCATAAGTGTTGTAAAAAGTTCTGCTGTTGGGAAGGAAAGGAATTTTTATTTATATCAGTGGACTAGACCGTTGGGGATCAACTGGGGACAAAATGAAGCAGGCAGCTGATAAATATACATGTTACTGGCTGATCTCACTTGATGGCAGAATTAGGATGTTATCAGAGCCAGTCTGGCAAAATTTGTCCCTTTTAGCAGTAGTTACTTTCAATTTGGGCTAAGTGCAGTTTTACTTTCTTGTGAATCATTATAGTTACAGGAATGTAATCTTAGAAGTCTTGATTTGTATTTGTAATCAATAACATCTGTAATATTTATGTTAACATTACAGTTAGTGCTGTGCTTCCTGGTATAACGGCACTTCTCATATATATTTAAGATGACTCTCATTTGTTTAGATACAAAGGTACAGCATTTGCAAACACTGAAACACAGATTGTCCTAAATAGCCAAAAAGGTGGAACCAGATTCTCCAAATAATGAGATTTATTCTCTAATAAAATGGAATTATTTCTCCCATTCATTTTTGCCATTCTTTACACTTTAATTTCCAGTGGTGTGCTATGGTGTCTAACTCTGCCGAGAGTGACAGACAGCAATAAATAAGGCATCCTTCCCTCCCACTATTGAAAGATTTCCCTCTTTCCAGCGATGATAAGTTGTCTGTATATAGTCTTTGGAAGTTGGGGAGGAGGGAGGAGGTTGTTTTCAGAATTTTGTCTGGGTCTAAATACCATGTACAAATTTAGACTCAAAGTAGCAATTTGTAGGGAAAATGTTTTTCTCTAAAAGGCATGAACCACACTGCTAGCAGATATTTCTTTAACCTATTACATCTGACAGCGTGGCTACAGAGCCGGTGCATGTAGCTTTGATGACACAACGTTTGGTAACCATTTGGGCGCATTCTAAGTGTGATTTTAGGGAGCAAGAACATTTGTAGTAGATGGCACAAATTACATATTGCAACTTGCTGTAATTATGGGGCAGCATGTTCAGGGAGCGGTCCCTGTAACATAATGTAAACTAATGTTCTTCTATCTATTTAAAAAGCCAGGAGAAAGAGACTACTGTTTCACATCTTAAAAGTACTGAGTGTTCTGGAGGTCACTGGGTGCCTCTGGCCACTCACCCTGTAAAAATAAGGCCTTTTTTTAAAATACTCCTAAAAATAGATTTGGAGTCTGCTATTACCTTCCTGGAAATGTATTTTGAAATCTGTTTGTAGTGTTAAATGAAATTTGCAGGGTACTTGAGGGTTAGGATGTAGGGTTCTCTACATACTTGCTGCTGCTTTTGGCCTGGGGTTTTCCTGAGCTTTCCATGGATCAGTAAGGAGGATGAGGAGAAATGCATGTTTGTTTAGCCTTTCCTAGATTCCTGCTGTCAGAGAACTGGCTATTGCTTGTGCAGGGAGGTAGCCTGGTCTCATCTGTCAGCTTCTATTCGTGCATACCTCTTCCTCTGAGACTGAAAATCAGGTAGCTGGGGGGGTTGCTGCTGCCATCATAGGTCATCTTCTAGATTTCAGTAGTCAGCCCTCAGCATTCTTAGACTTGAGAAAAAGGCCTCTCACCCTTCTGCGCTCTTTTGATCTTCTCCTTATGAGCGTACAAAATGTGTCAGAACTGACACCCTGCACTTTAAAGACAGGTTCCCGAATTGCAAGTGAGGACAGTTTTCTGAGCTGTTTAGGTTTCTAAAGGTCTAGCATTGAATTAATGACATGCTGGCATTGGAAATAACTGGTCATATTAGAAGAGAAGAGATGATATGTTCTGGTTTTGCTCTATGCTGCTTTCATTTTCTTTTCCTCCTGTTTTCCTTGTGTTTTTTCTTTATGCAGCTGTATTTAAAAATACATCATTTATTGACTATTGTTTTGGGGATGCTGCCAGGTATGGCTGTAGGTTTGGGGATTTATCCAAATCCAATTAAAGTCAATTGAATGTAATGACTCCACTAGCTCTCAATGGAGATAAATTGAATTCTTTGTAGAGTTTGCAAGGGCTGGCCAAGTTATCTCAGCATTTTAATTTCTGTACGTTTGTGTATAATTCTTGCAAGTCAAAATATTAAAATTTTGAAATCTGAAATTCCTTCTATTGCTTCTATCTCTGTACTTAAAATACGTAAGATGTCAAACACAGCAAACCATGTTAACAAAAAGCTTTCATGGTTAGAAGTCCAGCTATATCCAATATAACTTGCTTTCTGCACTACATTGTAAGTCTTTGATTATGTGATAACATAAAATTTAAAAACAGATACCTCTCAGTTACGTTTTTTTCATCAACCACAGGTGATGTGTAACTGTTCTCTTTATGCTTAACAGTACAAGAAGAGAATGTCCTTGCCTATATTACAGATTACATGAATGTTAGGAAATCACACGCTGTTTGCATTAGTTATTGTGAATTTAATGCATTGTTAAGGTATCAAGAGAGTTGGTCGATTCATGTTGTTGTGAATTAAAAAATGATAATGAGAAAATTGCTTAGAGTTAAGTTACAGTATTCATTATTTTGCTGTCTGATAATTAATATATTACTGAAAAGAAAAAAAAATGTAATGCATGCAGAAACACGTGTTTTCATGGCAGCTTCTGATTTACTAATGCTGACCAAAGACAAATAACTAATAGAAATAATTTCCAAATATGGATCTTACAAGTGATTTCATATCCTTTTGAGAATACTTTGAAGACAAACTACTCTGTCTTTTTGATTGTACCTTTGTGCTTGAGGACTGGCACAATTGTAAATACAAGCAATTCTTAAGTAGATAATAGTTAAGCCAAGAGCCTGTATAAGCCTCAATTATTATTTAAAAAAAAAAAAATCTAATTGAGAAACTGTAAGGTATACTGCAATCACCTTTAAAGAGTACTGTACACACAAAGAGAAAAAAAAATGTTTGAACTGAAACTGAAGAGTTACTGCCCTGGACTTGTTACCTTCTCCCTTTGTTGTGTATTTTTGTAGTTAAGAATCAGCTCATGAGAACTGTTGATTCCCGTAACTTCGACAGTGATGGTGAGGGGAATAAAGTACTGTGTTCTTGTCCAGGTTAATTTTTTTGTTGTTACAACATGCAGGAGTTCTTTGGGACAGGCACTATGCAGAAGTCAGGTGAAAAGACTGTCCCTGTTTTAAGGAGATTTACTGAAATACCTATTTTTTTTAAAAGAAAGATTAATTGCATACGGCGTAGAACATTACCTGCTCCAGCACCTGCCTTCATGTATTTTTCTCTAGCATAACTTGACATATAAGAGTTTATTCAGTGCCCAGATGGCCTGTATACAGGAGCAGCAAATATGCAGAATTCTGAACATTGTGAACTTGCTGTATGGTATGTCTGGCACATCCAGTGAGTCAGAGATGTCCAGTCTAACACTCAGTGTGTACATGTGGAGTACGGTATGTCCAGAACACTTGTGACTTGTGCGCTGCAGAACATGGCATTGGACTAAACATCTTGGTCTGCATATGTATAGGTACCGTTGCCCAAGTTATCTTGAATCTGAAAGTTCTCACTTTCAGTGGTGAGATTCCTGTTTCCACCGGGGCATAATTTCCACACAGAAAAAGAGGACATCACCGGAGGAACTCCAGATGTGCAATATCCACTATTCAGCAAATCAAATGAACAGGTGCTGAAATGTTGGCTCTTTAAGCAGTCCCAATAGAATTAATACAGCAAAATGTGTGTGTTTACAACAAAACAAAAGTAAATGTGTAAAAACTGGAAAAAAAAAAACAACACAACCAAGGTGTTTTAATTAGTGTATATTACAATGCAATTTATTCAGTTAGATAATATATTTGGTGCGATTCACAAAGAGACTTTTCAGACCCATTTATAATGTTTGCATGATACATTTTTATAGTGAAACTCTACCTTAGCATTTTTTTTTGTACATATCGCATATACAGTTAGGATTATTTTTGTATTTTCCTTATTTTTAATTATCCTCGGGTTTTATATTCAGTATTTTTCTAATATTTGTGGATACTTGAGTAAATCAGTCAGAGTGTTGCTCATTGGCAAAAAGGTATATGGTGTTGAATAGTGTAATCGGAAGTGGAAACCTAAAAAAATTCCCCAACTGATCTGAAAGGCAATGTTCTGTATTTTAGCACTGATGTATTTAAATGTGTTGTTTCTTCTCTTTTTGTATCTTTCTTACCACAACTGTTGTCTTAAATCTTAGATTTGGAAGTCACAGTATAGAGCATGATCTCCTTCATATCGCTAGAACTGCAGAGAGGGACAAAAATCTGCCTGTATGAAATAACATGCAGATCAAGGCTTTAGAGGGGTGAAATCACTGGACCTGCTGATATCAGTGGAGACTAAGAATTAAACTCTAGGTAAGAATCTATAATGCAATCCAAAAGCTGCAAATTACAATATTAAGAAGTAGCACTGGTAAAAGCAGGGTCTTTGCTACAAGACATTATTAGCAATAAAAGAAAAATGAATAGTACATTCTGGGGCTCCTAAACTGACAAAATTAGGACATAAAGTATGTTTTCTTTTGAAACACTGTCTTATACCACTTTAATATCTACCCCAAAATATGAAATGAAAACATTTAATATTTAAGAGATACCAATTTTAAAATCACGTTGTTCTCTGAAAAATATGTAATTACTACAAGTATTATCGACTGCTGTATTTGAGAACTATGTGAAGAACCATTCCTTGTTTTCTTATTCAGGTTTGTTTTTTTTTTTTTTATGGATTTCAACAGCATTTAGATTTCTATAATGTGAGTGTGCACCAGGTTTCGTTGTTTCCTTGTGCCGCTAAGTAATTTTCCTTCCTTGTTTCCTCAAGGCTTTCACAGATCAACAGAGGATGGAAAAATCACTAAGAATGATAGACAAATTTTTCCAAAATTTTAAAAAATGACAGACACTCAGAGGAAGCTATATTGTCTGGAGAAACTACTTAACTTTTTCAGGCTAATATAGGTGACATTAAAATATCTTAATAAACCATTCTTTCCACACTGGGGTGTGTGCTGAAAGAGGCACAGTTAAATGCTCTGCAGCTGCTATGGCATGTGCCAAAGTTTAGAGTGATCTAAGCGAGGCTTAGAAACTATCTTTAGCATACAGATGAGTGATACTATCCCAAGCATGTGCTGTTGTCTTTTTACCTGATGTGCTACTCCTGAAAATCTGATACTATCATGTAAAGCAAAATACCTAGTATCAACAAGCACTGTTTTGTTCTCTACTTGAGTTATGCTGATTTTAATTAACGGTCTGAACATTAAAAATGTGTTGCTTTCTGACCCTTTGCATGTTGAATTGTTGGAAAAGAATTCATTTGTTTTTAGCACTGCTTGGCACCAATTTAATGTTTTTCAATTGTATGCCATTACAAAGTACATCTTCTTTCATTTTCTGCTGTTCTGACATCATCAAATTCTAGTCACTACCCTGTTCTACAGTGCTCTTGTTGCTAAGAGCTTCGACTCTCACAAGGCAAAAGTAAATATGTGCATGTGAAGAAAAGAATCTGATATTATTTCAAGCTTCCTCCTGCTGTTTCTGGTGTGCTCCATCTCAGAGATTAGGGAACTGAGAAATCATGTTAATCTCAGAGCTCTCTGGTATAAACCTTTGGGAATGGAATGCTTTCTAGACCCTCAGTTTGCTGATCCCAAAGATGCACCCAGGTGCAGCTTTGTTTATTAAAGAGCCAAGGACACATTTAACAAAGCTGCAGTACTGCCTCTGTTATAGTCCTTTGTGCAGGCACATCAGAGGAAAGAAAATGCATGAAGGAATGTGAGGTGGACAGTGAGGAAGCCAGAGGAGGATGACTGTGGGGAGGAAGAAAATAGAGTGACAGAGAAGGAAAAGAGGGGTAAGAAAATAGAGGATAAAATTGGGGAGGGGAAAAAAGAGGAGACAGAATGACCTGGAAAATAAAAAAAGAGATGGCATGCTGCAAGTTCTGTGGATAATATTCAGCACATCTGTCTTAATGCGGTTTGATGTTTTGTCATAATGCTGACATGGTGCATTGGTGTAGTGGTTTGTAATGCAGCATAATAAACTCACAATGTGCTGTTTTACAGGTCCTCAATAGGTTCTGGATGGTTATAATCAGGACAATAATACCAATAGAGAGGGTAATGCTGCAGGCGAAGTGTAACTAGATTAAAGAGGCAGCATGTGATGAGAGATAAATGGAGAAGATGGAAAAACTGGAAGGAAACTGAAGAAGGGAGGCTGAGATACAGGAAGAGGTTAGTGACCAGACAGCTTTCCAGAAGCAAGCCTTTGTTCCATTACTGAGAGTAAGTACTACTGGCAGAAATGCTATTTCAAATGGGGAGGTGACAGGAGCTAGGAAAGCTAACATAACTGACCTAAGATGAGAAAGGAAGGGTGTGTTTAATGGCACTAAACTAAAGCAGGGGAAAGTGAAGGTACTGTTTAGTATGTTGCTACCTAAAAATGTCACAGGATACGTTACAGTGACCTATGCTGGAAAGGTAAGACTCACATTCTGTAGCACTCAATCTGAGTAGGTATAACATAATATGCATCAACACACAAAACTGCTGTTTGGAAAATGAAGATAACACTCTTCCTTCAGAGAAGCACACAGCTCAGCAGCTGTTAACTGGGTACATGCAGGGTGTTTACAAAAAAAAAAACCAAAACCCACAGAGCATGCAGATTCACTCTGCTTTTTCTATGCAGGTTTTTTTGGGGGAGGGAGGATTTTTTAGAGATGGATTTTTTTTTTTCCTTTTCCATTCACCACTTTCCTTCTACTCTTCAGCTTTTTTGGCTAAAACCAAATTCGGATCATTTCTTTTAAGTCTCCTCTTTTCAGTCTTGGGCTTTCTGAATTAAACGCTGCAATATTAGCTGCCTGCAGTTACTGTGATTGGACTCCATGGGTGGCCTGAGCAATTTTCAGACAATGGAGCTGGTTCTTTTCTCACTCACACCAGTGTAACTCATTGGCCTCAGTGGAGTTACTCTTGATTCACAGTGTTGTGAAAGGAGAATTGTGCTTGCTCTTTCATATGTTCTTTCATCTCTATGATATTTTTGCTTACATGTATAATTGATTTTCTGGGAATATCTCCTGCTGCTGACAGGTAGACCTAGGAACTTCCTAAGACAGAAATAAATATAAACATTTTTTTAGGTCACTGAGTTCAATCTGCTGCTGCTACAACACCATGTTACATAATATCTTTCATAAACTGATCAGGCTTTAAGCATTCATTAAGACTCTATTCTTACTACAATTGATAAATTCAGACAGAAATGTTGGTTATGTCCTCTGCAATTTCAAAACAACAACTGAAATAATTTTCGAATGCTCCAGAAGTATTTTCCTTTCTCACATATGCCTCACTTTTCAGTACAGCAACCATGACAAAGGCTTCATTCTTGGCAGAAGTAGGCTCAGCTCTGAGAAAGCACGGTTCTGAAATTACAGGCGTACTTAGGAAAGGGTACTGTGTAGTTTTCTATTCATGGTCACATCCCTCTCACAGATTTTAGTGGGAGTTACAAGCAGTCATCTGACAAATTTTTACCATACCTGAAGTGCCACCCTGAAGGCAATTACAGAAGGTGAAGGGTATGGAACAGGTGTGTACAACTTGGCTGAGGACAGATTACTGCAGACTTTAACTTACTTATGTTGGGCTGCCTTCACTTTACCACACAGTCTTAGCAGACCCCATCCATTTCAGCAGAATTTGCTCCTCGTATATGGAATTCCTGGGCCTAATTGGCATGAAGCTGAAAATCATCAATATAACCAAGAATTTTAATTGGGATTAAAGCATAGATAAAAAGCAGAGCCAAATTTTTCTCGTACATAGTGTAAATAAGATGATTCAGCTGAAGCCAACAGAATTACGCTGTTATCTGCGAATGCTACTGTGATACCTCCATGTCCTCTCTACCTTCCCTATGGCCTTTCAGCATGTGCCTTCTATTGACATGAAATATAATTTTATTTTTGCCCTGTGTTCCTGAATCTCTGTTCTGCACCTCACTTTAGCAAGCCCATTCATTGCCCATACTTCCCTTCCCTGCTGAAGCTTGGCTTCAGAAGTGACATTTGTTACTGCGGAAGTTCTTGAGAGTTACCATTTAGCAATGAAAACAAAACTTTGTTTTGCAGCTGCTGGAAAATAGTGGCTGCACATCACAAGGGAGTGAGGAAAAGGTGTATTAGTTGTGAAAGCCAAACTGTGGGCACTTTATAGCAACCAGTTGGCTGTGATACTGCTCTGGTGGCTGTTTATCCCACCCTTTGGCTACTGTATTTCTTATGTAGAAATAGGTGCACAAGTTGCATCATGCAAGTACAGTAAGTCTCATACTTTTAGAACTTACTAGAAATGCTCAAAGTAATTGTGTGGTAAGTTCATGCAATGCTTTGTAGGAGTGGTAGAGTATTCACTTGGTTTTGTTGGAATTGCTTTGCACATGCAATACAAGCCTAGTCTGTTTGCTCTGAGGATCTCTTTGGGATTGCTGGACATGGGACATCTTCTCAGAATCTTCCTGAAGAACATTTCTGGAAGGAAAAGAGGATGGACAATCAATTTTAGGCAACCTGGATTTAAGGTAACCATATCTAACCATGTCTACAGGCCTCCCTTCTACTGCAATGCCTTCATAGCCCCATAGCCAGTTCTCTTTTATCTGCAAATTCTCTTCATCAAAATTCTGAGCGATACCCTGCTGTATGCTCACATGAAGAGCAGTTGCCAGCCAGGAATCCTCAGTGCATCACCATTCTCAGCTTTACAGTCAGCAACGCTCAACCCAGCACGTGTTGTTGGGCTGTTGAAAGATGGAATTGCCTCTGGTCACGATCTGCTGCGTGCTCAACAGCATGCTGATGATGGGCCAAGGAGAGAGCAGTGAGGCAGGTCAAACTAGTTTCTTTCACCCACGCAGCACACTGGGCCGAAGCAATTGTTTAGTAGGCTGTGTGCTACACAGGCCTGATACGGAGGTTTGAGGAGAGTCTGGTTTGTCTTCTAGATGCTTCCTAACCTGTAAGTGCATAATGGTGATGGGTTACTTTGAGGTTTAGATCTCTGATAGGTGGTCTCTGGCAGAGTTACCAGTTCGGTTTAAGACATTACCACTTTCAACTGTCTGCTTTATCCTGATGCTAGGTATTACCACACTCTTATGTTGGAGACTCCAGGTGGCAGGCTGGCATTTTAAAAAACTACCTACTTTCATTGTTGTGCTCTACTAGATGATCATGACCTCAGGCAGTTGGTGGAAATAACAGCTTAAAACATGGCAGATAAATCTGCCAGAGCTTGTTCTTCAGAGCCTTTGATTCTCAGCCATGAATGGAAAGAGTCCCTGCCTGTGCCCGTAGGCCTGAGGACAACTGTTCCCGCCTTCACTGCCACTGCAGATCTTCTGTCACCCCAGAGGTCTGCTGCTTGTCCATATGGAAGGCTGTTGTTATAGTTATTACAACTTAAGAGGACAAGGAGTATGTATAAAGAAACTTCAGTCAGTGATATTAGATTAAACAAAAAGTAATGACTATTGTTTGGAAGATGAATTATCGAAGAAAAAATTCCGTTGGAATTTGTATAGTTCATGTCATCTTGAAAGTAGTTTATGATCCCACCATGCAGTTCTTACGTTTTGGGGGCTGTTCTGTTTCATTAAATACTGTAGATATAATAGAAAATAGGTTGAAATCTTCCTTTTTGTGAGGAATAAAATGATATGACATCAGAGTTAAATATAAGGTTTTTATCCCAGTTTCATAAAGAAAAGGTGTTGATATGATATCGCTATCTTTATTTGTCCATCTGTTTGTTTCTGGAATGGAAGAAGATTGGAAGCAGGAGTGGGATCTCCTCTTTCGCTCAGCTGAGAATGCCTTGTGGAATTTTGTTAACAAAGATCAGTTTAAAAGCTGGTCAACCATAAGACACAAGTCCATAGGAAATCAAACTTCAGTAGTTCCAATGTTTACACACACGCTTACCCGGCAGTTGATTTATATTCAGCAATGGATTAAGCAAAGATGGGTTGAAACAGTTACAGATGCTGGCGGTGCGCCCTGCCCCTCCTACAGGTTCCCGTCTCTACAGCAGGAATGGCTCAATGCCTCATTAATCACTACCCGAGTTTCTGCGTTTCACAGATCGGCATATTAAGGCAAGCCAACATCAGTTTCTGTTCAGGCTGAAGCCATAGCATTCCTGCCGTGGGAGACGTCCTGCGAGAGATTAGTGTACGCAGTTGGGGTAGATGATTTGTCAACTGCAGCTTAATCTAGTGTGACATACGTATGAATACCTTCAACGTTATGTTGCTTGGGAGAGGAGAATTTTTAAATTATTGATTCGAAAGATTGGGAATCCTTAATGGAAAGTTGAGGTGGTTTAGGATGCTTATGGTAGTAGAAGCATGCCAAGAGTCCTGACTGTTATGCTTTCTAGTTGGTAAAAAAATTAAGTACATTCATCATCATAATATTTAATTTTGTCATCATAATTTTGCTTCTCGATTTTTCAATACTATACAACAGTTCAAAAATGTAAATGAAAAATAATTTGACAAAAATCACAGCCTTTAATTTAAGAAATAGCATGTAGCAGCAATACCTGCTCTCTATAGGATGTGTTACCTAGGACCCTATGCTGTACAGTGCTATGAAGGGGGTGTGTGAATGGGTTCCTAGGGCACCAACAGTCAGCATTTTCCCGGTGATGTATTTTAGACAACGGGGCTATGTCAATGAAAGGCAGGGTGCCTAAATTGTTGGAAGGTGCGATGCTACACCAAACAGGAATTTTCCCTCCCTCAGGGGAGCCGTTCTCAGGGACGGTCCGTGGGGCAGAATTCGGGGACCCGCGGGTCCCTGGAGATACACACGCCCCCGCCGCGGGGGCGGCCAGCGGGCTCCGCGCCCTGCGGCGGTGGCTGCGGCACCGGGCCGGCCGCGGGCTCCCTCCCGCCGCGCAGCCCGCACGGCCGGCCGCCTCCCCGCGCTGTTACCGCGGCTGCGTTTCGAGCCGCGCTGACGACGAGTGGAGGGACGGTCCCGGATTATTTATTTGGTGGAGTGAACGCCGCCGCTGCGCGGTCGTGTGCGCAGCCCGCGCTTCGGGGGTCGCCTGCCCGCCCGCCGCCGCGGAGCCCCGTGCCTGGGCGGCCCGGGAGGGCTCCGCGCCCCCGCCCAGCCCAGCCGCCGAGGCCCACGGGGGTGAGGGGTACGGGGGAGCTGCTGCGGGGCGGGCGGGCGGGCCGGCCGGCCGGCGGAAGCCGCCTTCCCCTCCGCGGCGGCGAGCGGAGCCCGGTGGCAGGTGACGGCGGCGGCGGCGGCTCGGCCCCTTTAAGGCTACGCCCGCCGTAACCCGATCCCCGCAGCCGGAGACCCCGCCGCTACCAGCGGAGCATCCTGCGCCCGGGAAGGGCCGTCCCGTCCCGTCCCCGCCGCCGCGGGGAGGCATGGCGGAGGTGGCGGCGCGGCCGCGGTAGTCCCGCTCCCAGGTGCGGCATGCGGTGAGGGAGCGAGGGGGCGGCGGGGCCGGGGCCGGGGCCGGCGGGGCGCTGAGGGGCGGTGCGGCCCCTTCCCCCCGCCCCCGCGGGGCCGCGCCGAGCGGCCCCTTCCCTCCCTCAGCCGCGGGCCGCCCCCCGCCGAGCCGCGGGCCGCAGCCGGCGGCGGTGGCGGCTCCGAGGGCGCAGGGAACGGCCGCTGCCCGCCTACCCCCCGCCGCCCTGACAGCCGCAGCGGGTGCGTGCGGCGGCTGCCTGCCGCCGGCCTGCCAGCCGTCCGGGGCTGCCGCCGCGGGCGGGCTCGGGGCGAACGGCGGGCGCCTCGGCTGACGGGGGAAGGTAACGCCCGGCTCGGGGGGAGCGCCCGGCGGCTTCTTGTTAGCGCTGCGCTGGCGCGGAGTTGTTAGCCTGGCCGGGTCCCTCCGCGCCCCTGCGGCTCGGTTCCTCCTCCGAGCTTGGCGGGGGGCGCTTCCCCTCCCTGTTGCTTTCCGACTGCAAACTTCTTGCAGGGTTTGAAGGAATCGGTGTAGGTCCGCGACACCGCAGCGCGCAGCTCATCCTGTTCACCCTGGCTTTATACGAAGCGTGCCTGATCTGCCGGTTGCTTTAGTGTTTGAAGAGCAGAATGCAAAGTGGAGTTTGCGGTGTGAATAGTCGTATGTAGAAAAGGGAATGGCTTAAGTTGTGAGTAGCTCGAATTTTCTTGTGTTTCTCCTTAGCTAAGTTTCTCCTGAGCTAAGTAAGATACCAAATGCAGTATCTCTAACCTAACTGGAGCAATAGAAACTACCATTCAGAACCAACAGCACAGCAAAACTCAAGCACTGCAGATGTTTTATTACCAAGCTTATTATAAAATGTGCAAACAGGCAGTAGTCCCATGTTGCTCTCTACAAATTAGTGTGGCAAGTTTTACAACTATTGGATTTGGCTTTCAGTTCTAAGCAGATCAGGAGAGTGTAGGGCTGAATAGAATGTCCTGGTATCACTAGCAGCTGTAGGGTGTAATCTTGTTTGGAGATGGATCCAACTCATCTTGACATCCAGCCTTGAAGGAAGTAAGGGCTGCGGGCCTTATATGTTCCTCTGCACCTCCTTACTGTGTCTTGTAGCTATACAGTTGCATTTCTTATTTTTATGATTTGAAAAATTGATGTGGAAACAGTGAAATTAGGAGAATATAAGCACTAAATGCCATTGATTGTACAAAGTTTGGTAACTCTTCTGCTCGTTAATCCTTTTTCAGTAAGTGCTGACTTCTTCCTATCAGAAGTTCATAATGATTTCATATGGGGAGTGGATGAATGTTGATTTTTTTAATATCATTGGGTTTTTTTCTTCTAAATTTCAAGTAGAAACAGAATTGCAGGAAAACCACAGCATGTTAACAGCAGATTAGAAGAGCGTATTTTCAGCTCTTACTGGGTATGATTGAAAAGGTGTGTTGTTAGCTTTTTCAAAATTATTGGGGTCAATAGAGCAATTTGATTCTGCGCTAGACATGTGTAAGCAATACCTTGCTCAAAATTGTTAGTTTCAAGTGTTTACTGATATTTATTTATCTAAAGACTACATTGAAAAGCTGCAGGAGTGAAGTTCTGATCATTTGTAATTACTATCTAACTGAATGGTTAAAATGGGTAAACCAGGATGAGACCACTACTAGAAAAGCTAATGGTGAAGAACCAACCTAGATATGGTACTTTTTTTCCTGAATTACAAAGTGCTTACACTAAACCTCCCTCCCCACCCGGCCTTCCACTAGCTCAAAAACCGTATCAGCTGACTGAATGGTAATCAATGACTATGCAGTTTGGGTGGTTAAGTGTCTGCTCATATATAATCCATGAAGTTCTGTATCTTGATCAGACTTTTCTGGACAGTTATAAGAAGAGGCTGGGGCAGAAAAACGTAGTGTAGTTGAAGCTGCCTTTGACTTACTAACTTTGGTCATTGTCGTTGGGACAAAGCAATCATATGTAATTAATAACTTCTTTTGTTTCTTTGACATGATAAGCTTTGGTTCAACAACATGAATGATTTTATTTTTAAATAGAAAATCTGGTAAACAAAGTTAATTTTAATGTTAAACAGGATATAGTTGAAAACAACATGGAGGTATGAGAAAACAGTTATAGCTGAACTGTTCTTCTAGCCCACATGAAACATTGTCCTTGAATTGAATCAAAATATGGCATTCTTAATTTGCCTAAGTAAACCATGAAATTGTTCCTGGACCTGGTACTTGATGTACTTAAGCAGCATCTTGATAAAGATATACGAAATAACTTTCTGAAATCAGTCTTGCAAAATGCTTGAGTATCAGTGAGATCAGCCACAGAGGCTGGTTGAGTAGTTTCTTCTCTGCTACCTTCATACCTTTCTCATTTGTGGGCATCATGGTTCTGAACTTGCTGCTAAAACTTCTGAGAGATATAGGTACATAATTCTTCTGAAAGTCAGACCATGCACTTTCCACTTAAGTACTTTTTTTTTAAAACAAATTCCTTGTACAGGCTCCTTAGAAAGATTAGCCCTTCTAATGCATTTCTTGCAAGGGATCGTTGGGAAGTTTTTTGTTTAATTCCATAATCTCCTGTGCTAAAAGGAACACCTGTCATGCGTTGAAACATTACTTATCTAATCAAATCCTCTGGTACTAAGGAAACAAACCAAAATATGGATTTCTTTTGTCCAATAGATTATGTCAGTGTCTTTGAAACTCAGAGGTACTAGTACAGTCATTGCAGATGAATAAAATTAGTAGCATCATGAGAATTGTTATATTTTAGTCAAAAGGATGAAGTAGGTGTGATGTATGTTCTTTGAGTTTGGTATTTTTCTGAAGATAATTGTCTTCGATGTGTTTTGGCTTCTTCCACTTTAGGAATTAAACCAACTGATTTTTTTTATTTTTATTTTTTTTCCCCTTATGTAGTCCAAAAGAGGACTTGGTTACTACAAATGATGGAATGTAATAGTGAAGTTTTGGCTCTGGGATTAGAATCTGGAATGGATACCTTACAGTGCTTATCAGTGGGTTTAAACTGGAAGATATAAAATGGAATTGATTGATTTATTCACTCAAATGGAAAAGTTTTAGAAAAATCTAGCTTGACACCCATTGTCTCTAGTACTTTAAACTGTGTAAAAAATGTATAAAATTTAGTTTGTGTTTTGTATCTTCTTGGTCAGTGGAGATGAGAAGTATGTGGAGAACAGTGTAAGAAGTACTTGAGAGAATACTGAATATTCAGGATAGTATTTGAAATTGGAAGTTTTAATAGATTAACATTAAAAAGTATGCAAGACCAGTATGCTGCTGAACTAGAACAGATCATCAGATAAACAACGGGAATGAGCTGGAGTTTGTTGCAATGCACTGCAGTGTGTGTACTTTAAAATTTTAGTTCGGTGTAAAAGTGCACTTATAAACAACTGAATCTTCTGATCACTTCACTTACCGCACCTTGGTGTTGTTTGCATACCTGCCCAGAGCATGCAAGCTGGATTGCTTTTGGGTTAAACTGAGCAGGAAGATAGGCCTGAAGAGCATATCAAATATGATCTAACAACTGTGGAGTCCTTAGGGCATGATTAAAACTGGTCTGAAGTAAACACTTGAAATCCATATGATATGGATGCAGATTTCACTCAACAAATTTGCTCTTATTTGTCCTGCATTCTGCTTATATAGCTGTAGCTTTTACTGTGGATATTAGTCAGAGAGGGTTTTCAGATAAATCACTTTTTTTTACTCATCAATTCTGGGGGGAGGGGAGGGAGAAGAGGAGGGGAAAAAAAGTTCAAGATCATTGAACCCTCTGCTTTTAAATCTTTGAAAACAAATTTTTTTTTTTTCCCTGATGTGTATGTAATATACCTTTTGTTTAAGTTCTGAGTTTAAATGCAAACCTTGTTTCAATACACCCATCATTTATACCACCAAATGAGTATATTTAGAAAAAATATTATTTTAACTGGTAGCTATTTCTCTCTATTTTTTTTCCCTGAAGTTCAAAATTCTTTCCATCTGCAATGCAGATGCAATATAAAAAAAAAAAATCTAAGGCGTGTTCCCTCATTCTATAATGCATGTGAACTGAAGGTAGATGTAAGTGTAATATATAATTGTATCAGTTTTTGCTGACTGTTAAGTGGTTGTAGTAACATCAAATTATGCTAGCCTCTAAGTCTTCATTTTATTTTTAGATATTTTCTTCAGTAAAACTAAAGTAAGTGACAGTAGTTATTTAAATGGCTATTAAATTAATTATTTAAATATTTTAAATGAAGGTATTTGGCTTTTTTCCCCTTTCTGTTCAACTTAATACAAAATGACTTCTTATGAGTTTGTAACCTTTGCCAGTCTTGGAATATAAAACAGTTCATGACACCATCAAACTGGAGACGTATGTCAGAAGTTTGTGGCTTCTGGGAAAATATCATTCTGTCTTGCAAAACACTGGGGAGGAGAAATGACTGAAGCATTTAGAGACTGACATTTATGTTTGTAATTGTTTAGCTATTATTTAGACCTCATGAAATAGCTAAACATCCAGCATCTGAAAAGTGCATTAGCTCTCATGATAGGAAACTTTACAGTGTTCTCTGAAATTGTGTGAAGTTTAGACTTTCACATGAAGAAGAAAAAAGTTCAAATATGATAGCCTACACGCTATCACAAAGAGAAGCCCTCAACAGTGAACCAAGTGCAAATTGAGAACTACTGTCTCTGTAAAGTATGCAGAAATAAAGCTGCAGTGAGGCTATTACTTCCCATTGCTGACCTGAAAATCTCTCTACTATGGTTATCTGATTTCATTGTTGCTTTTTTAAATCCTGTCAGCAATAGTCAATCTGGTAAGAATGAGATGAATTTTAACTTCGGGGCTTCTTGGGACAGGAGTGGAGGCTTCTGAGCTGGCAGTTGCACTGGTCAGTGATTCTCCCTGCTCCTTATGTGTTGATAAAATAAATGCAACTTTAGGCAACAAAAATATATAGTACGCACATGTTAAAAAAAAAAAAAAAAAATCCAAACCTGAAATGCAACTTTTACATATAAAAGTTTGGGGATGTTTTTATATTATTAAGGCTTAAGTAGAAATATTGAACAGGATGAAACTCTTAGTGAATGATATTTCTGTTGATAAGTTATCTGTCAAAACAATTTCTGTGGCTGCTTAAAATAGTTAAATGGACAATGGACTGAAATTACCTTCTGCTTCTCTTGACAGGCTGAAGAACAATGGCTTCCTTCAGCAACCTGACTATTGGCATTGCTGTTGCCAGTTTTACTGTATTTCAGCTCCTGTTCCATGTTTTAAGTTCTTGGGTGTCAAAACGACTAACACCTGGTTTTAACAATCTCAGCCAAAAAAGGAAGATTGAATGGAACTCAAGGTAGAGTGTTCAAACCAAACTACAGCTAATGACCTGCTTGAAATTGTCAGCATCTGAACCACATGTGTGTGTATATACAAAACCACAGAAAACATTATTAAACATATGTAAAGATCAGAGGGAGGTTTCTAGGCGCTTGACAAATTCTGAATGTAAAATGCTGAGGTCTCTTCTTGAACACACAGCTTTATAAACACTTGTGCATTAAATGCTTTTTTAAGCAGTGATGACCAGAGGTAATAAACTGAAGTGGATTAATTTTAAATGGCTTCTCTGTGACACTTCTAGTGAAGAGAAGAGGTACAAAATTCCCTTCCCCCAAACATACATGAAAATCAAAGCAATTACAATTTATTCCATGGTCTAAATGCTAGTGTATCTGTGGTCATGCTTTTGGGTGTAAAGCAAATTGCTCTTTGGTCTCCTAGTGCTGCTACACTACAACCTCTTTTATATAGCTTATGGTTTTCCAAGAAATTTGATGGATCTTGGGTGTAGTACTGGGGTGAGGCAGGGTTAGACATGTATAGGTGTGTGTTGGTCAGGAAGGAGACTGCAAGAAGATGAGGAGGAAGCTATGGCAGACGCAGGGTACACATTCAGGAGGGAGTTGTGGAGACTCAAATCTAAAATCCTTCCTCACTCTCTTTGTGTTTCTGCAGTTCCATCACTGGGATGGATCCTCCTACATTACTCTTGTCTTCTCAGACAGGGTGCTGTTAGAACCTTGTTCAATCCTGTGAATCTTTCCTGGCAGCTTTCCTCTCTTTTAAGCCGTAAAGGAAGTATAGGGTAGTAATTGCAAATGGGATGATCACTGAGGTTTTATTTGCAATATACTACTCTGAAACGGTATATGTAGTACACAAGCTTCTCCAGTTGTAATTAATTGATAAAGTATAACTTTATGCTTGAGTAGCCTATTACAACTTTAAAATATTTTTCAGGTGTTTCTCAAATTTGAACCTCAAAAATGTGTACTGTATGGCTGTCACTGCCTTCAAAATGCATTAGTTGTATCACTGTCCCTCCTCGGTGCTGTTTAAGGTTGATATCAGGTGGATACTTTTAAAGTTTTTCCATGGTTCTAAGCAGCATTAGCAACTCAAATAGTCTTGCCTTTCCATTTGGCAAATGTCCACCTGCAGTGTTCTTCAAGGCACCATCTTAATTTCAGTTAGATCTTTGAATAATTACCTATCTGCCAGAACAACTTTGTAGGATGCCTGTTCACGATAGCAGTGCAGCTTAGGTTTATCTCTGTTACAATTGACAATAGAGGCACACAGGGAAACAAAACTAAACTCTTATCACATTGGAGCCGAACTTTTGTCTCTAAGCCACATCAAGTGACCCTTGAATTGCATAATAGGCTTTCTGAGAACTTAGCCCATGCCTGGTAACACTATGCTAAGTTGTAGTGCTTTGCATAGTAACAGATGAACTGTTTCACACATCACAAGTGTGCTGGAAATAAGCTGCTCTGTAATATCTGGGCTACTTTGTAATAAGGTGTTTAACTACTCAGGTTAATACAGCTCCCCAGGCTGTGTCCTTTTTTAACTTCTTTCCACATTTTTTCTTGGGATTGATAGCAGTATGTAGGTGTTGGCACACAGATGAGTTCCGGTCTGGTGTTACATCCAGTTCTGGAGTTAAAAAGCATGAAACACAAAGCATGGTTCATCAACAGCTTGTTGATGTTACACCTGAGGAGAGCATGAAGTGAAAGAAAGACTAGCTGTGATTGCGTTTCTACAAAAGTTTGACTGTTAATTCTGTTAACCAAACACTGTTTTGCCAAACTGCCTCATCACTCCAGTGTTCCACCAAAATGCAGACACCCCAAGGAGTGTCTTATATGTTCAGAGAATGTAGATGGACATATATGTACCCTGCAGACAGCTGTATAGGTAGAGAAAGTTACTATCTCCCAGTAAAATGGGTTGGGTTAACTTAAATGATTTAGAAATAGGTGGTTGTTGTTTTGTCCAATATTGAACTGGTGTAGGGAGTGCTCACACAAATGGTTCTGTTGGCAGTCCTGAAGGAAACTGGCACAGAGGATGGTTACGCATTTTTATCAGCTCAGCTGGGTCTGGAAGAGGGCATCTGCCTGAAACGAGCTGTAGCATTGAAAATATATTGTTCCAGTTTGGAGGGTTTTGTAATCAAGCATTTGAGCTTTAGCTCTGGACTGTGCTTTCCCTACTGTCAATTTTTTCATTCTGCCCTTCCAAGAATTAAGAACCAATAAATTGCTTCTGGAATCTTAAGTATGCAGATGCTCAAATTGAGTTAAAAACTAAACTTTGATACAGATGTAGTGTCTTTAATCTGTTGTGCATAAATTCCTGTCACCTCTTCTATAATACATATATGTACTGCAGTTACACAGTTGTGAAACTATATACATATTTAATAATAAAGGAACAAGCATGCAACTTCTCAGTGCAACTTTTTTTTTTTTTTTCCAGTTTAATGAGGAGTTAAAGGATGTAAGCTTTGACATTAATTTCAAGGAAATATGGAGCTTGATAGTTCGACCTAGATTTCATATTAAAACAGAATGTTGCACTGTTCCCTCTTCTGTGGATAAACTTCAAAGTCTAGAGTTAAGGAGGAAATATGCTCTTTTTTTTTTTTCCCCCTCCCCCTTCAAGTGCCATGCTTGTGTATAGCTTGTATTCTTAACATGAAGGTTTGTGTAAACAGCCACTCCTGAGACAAATTGCAACTGTAAAGTAATGAGCTATGTTCTAGGATAAATTTTACTTCTTTCATCATTACCCTCTCCTAAATTTCAAAAATCCCAGGTATTTCTCAAACACTAATATTACATGCCATGCTTTATTTTAAAAAGGAAGCAAAGTTCCCAGCTCTCTGTTAATTCTGTTTTGCAAGAATAGACATTTTAATTAAACTATTAATTATCATTAAAATTTTGATAACTAAATTTTCTTTCTTTATTTAAAAAAAAGCAGCCTGTACTATAATGGTTAGTAAATGTTCTCATCTAGCTTGTTACATTTGACTATTCATATTGTATTAATCTCCATTTTTTGAAACACTATTGAAAAGGCTGCTGAAAATAGCATGATGACACTCTTTAAACAGATTGTAAATAGAGACTTCTTTTATGGAAAGTTACAGAATCCTGTAATGACAATAAATGATAATATAACTTCTAGAAACAGACTAGGGATTATAACCTATTCTTTCTTTGCAGTCTTCCGCAAGAAGTAGGATGTTTTCTTCAGTTCTCATATGGTAGAGTTTAGACTCCTGAGAGTGACTTGATAACTTTGAAATGCATGTATTCAGTATGTACAAAGACTAGTAACTAACAGCTCTATACATTTGTGTGCATATTGTTGATGCTGTGAATATGGTGCAAAGGTGTTTCTGATCACACAGCATTGACCTTAGCCTTCTCATCTTTCAAATAGTATCCATGATTCAGTGGAGCTATTTTGACATGTGATTTTTTTTTTTTTTTTTTTTTCCTTCCTAGTCACACTTGAAAAGTGGCAAAGCACAGAGCAGCTACACAGTATTAGATGTAGTTTATAGTAGTGTTAAACCCATGGCTAGAGGAACAAGGCTACACATTTTGGATCCAGGCCCATTGCATTGTTCTACCTTCCAAGAATAAATTTGAACTCAAAAGGGCAGGAATGGCCCTGGCCTGCATGCTGGCAGAAACCCTGCCGGGGCCTCTGTAAATAGGTAATTCTCTTTAAGTGCTTGTTAACATTCAGAGTTTATCTACAGTGTGCATGCAGCCTCTATACTTGAAACTGGTGTCATTGGAAGAAAAGTGTTTAGTACCCAGGTATGGACAAGGCAACTCTGATTACTGTGAATTTTTATAGGACAAGAGGAGTATAAAATAAAGCAAAGCTGCAAGCTGCTAGTTCATATGAAACTGTAACTGTTATACCTCAGATCCTGAGCTACAACCTTTTGTTATACAAGGTTTCTCTTTGAAAAACAGAATCTATTTCAAATGCACTAGAAATTCTGTCTGAAACTTTATTTGATAGGGTTTTTCATTTAATGCCCCTCTTTCCAAAACCTGAACTTGGCAGATTTATTATGGGTCATCTATTAATTTGGTGCCCGTTAAAGGAGAAACATGTTGCTGCAGGACTCATGGGCCATTCTGAATATAAAATGCCTACAGATTTTCCAATAAATGGGACAATACAGTAAGTATTAGTTAGAGAACTGGATATCATATTGTCTTTAAGGATTCATTAATACATGGGATAACTGGAGGGAAATTTAGATCTCAGTTACTTGAAGACCTTGTTTTATATTTAATACTCCACTCCCCACTCCAATTTCATAGATTCCTTTTTTTGACTGTTTTTTCCCACCTGTCATTGTGAAGTGGTTGGATGTAGCATAAAGAAGAGGTGATTGTTTTCCACAGAGGTATCGGGATGCAGTTGGCAATGTCTTTGGAAACATCCTACCTTAAGCACAGTGTCGAAAGTTGTGAATGGCAGTACCTCCTTGTGACTGTGATCTCTTTTTCAGGACAGTGTCCACATTCCATGCCTTGGTGGTTGGTGGTTTTTGCCTATATATTTTGTTGTACGATGATGCTGTTAATGCTGACCGTCTCTGGTAAGGCATGTTACGTATATGTTGTGTTTACACAGGAAAACAACATAACTGAGAAGGAAAAAAGTAATTCTGCAGTGTATTAATTACTGAAATAATTGTTTAATTTCCTGTTAAAATGTGCAGTTGTGATGTGTCCATTTTTATGTCTGTACTACTTGATAATTCCAAATTATTTTGTCAGTGTTAATGTCTTAGTGCATTATGCCTCTCTGAAGTAGTATAAATGCAAGCAATTGATTTGAAATAGCATATTAAATTACTAAAGCATAGAACCAAGTGTGTAACTGTAAGTTGGTATGACTGAAACTATGCTATTTAATAATTTTAAAATGAAATTGAAATGCTGTTCCTGATCTGGAGTGTGAGTGTGTGTGGGAAAAAACCTGGTGGGGCCTATTAAATGTTTAAAATATATATGTCTAAATTTATAAACCAAGATATTTATATTATTTCTGCCTCATAAAGCTTCTATCAATCTTTGTTTTTAAAGTATGGAAGCTTCAAGTGCTGTCTTCATAAGCAAAAGGAATATTTAATAAATTAACTTCTGATATTTTCTCTAGTTAACAAAATCTTCTATATTAAGCTTATCTTTTCTTGATTTCTACTTACATTGTTTTGTTTCACCCTTCTTTGAGGGTGGAGGAACAAGATGTCTTCATTCTAGTTGAGTTAATTATGGATTGCTATTGGTGTTTTGACGTTTCACTCTGCATCCTCTGGAACTCTTTCCCTATAGAAGGAAGAGGCCATATTTTTCCTGAAGGCTAACTAACTACTTTAAGTTTCGTTTAGTATTTCTGTCATAGAGTGTTGTTTTTAACCTTGCCAAAGGACCACACTGTATGTCAATTTAAACTTACTTACATAAATTTCACATCTGATGCTTGTTCTGCTCTTTTGATGTTGTAAATTAATGACAATGCAGCAGGGACTAGACAGGACTGGGTGCTTAAAGTGCTCTGCCACTGACTTGTTATATGGCTTTAATAAATGTAAAAGTAATACATAACACAAATTTAGGCAACATTGGCCTCTTCTGTATGTAGTGATATATGATTAAATTATTGGCTGTTTTGAATTGTTTTCATTGCATTCTGGTATCTTTAGAGAGAACAACGACAGTCCGAATCTCTTATGAGATCTGTTAACCATGTTGAAAAGCAGCACATTATTATAACTCTCTCAGTGAGTGTTGTGGAAAGTTTTACCAGATAGAAGCTTTTATCCTGTTTTGAGTAGATCTTGTTTTAAACAGTACAAAAGAATTCATGAATGGCAGAAAGAAAAGCCTCTTGGTGATGATAAATAAATTGAGTCTGCACATTTACTAAATTTTCCTGGTGTAATTACAGGAACAATTCAAATAAGCAAAACTTGAACTGCGTTTTGTTCTTAGTAAGTTTGAGAAAGGTTGTATATGATATATATGATTTTTTTGTGTACTGCATTGAAAACTTAATCTTGTTGATGGAGCCTTAGCATCCTAGATTATGTAAAAACATAAAATCTTAAAAGACAAAATCCATCTGCCTTTGGGGGATTGTTTTTTTTTGTATTTCTACTATTACTTCTAAATAGTTTCTTCTTTTGGGTATGTTTACAATGATTGCTATCAGTGGTTTTATTTCCATCTGGTAGAGTAAGGAAAACTTTATATATATCTTTCAAAATCTAGAGGAAGTATATCTAATTTGTGTGTTTTAAATCAAAACTTCAGGTTCATTTCATGGCAGTATTTCTATAAATCGTTTCTTGGTCAAAATTATCATAGGGGTTTTAGGAATTTGTCAATTAAAAGTGCACAGAGCACAGTCTAGATGTGGAAATCAATATTTTTAGTTAGTAAATTAATAATTTAAAAATATGTGAATTATCACTTAATATATTTAAAACAGGTGAAATAATTTGAATTCATGTTCATGCAAGTGATTAAATGCAAAGGAAGACCAAATGTAATAGTGTCTGTGGCTTTACAAGTACTTGTATGTAGCCTGAAAGTAAAATACAACTTTGTGTTAGGCTTTCTTCTGCCAGTGAAGCCAGAATCGCAGGGTGGTTTCCTCAGAATTTGCAGGTGTACATTTTCTTCTAAGGCTGACTTTTACATTTCTTCTAAAAATGAGATGGCTAGCATTAGTTGGTGCATTCCCTGATATGTCATATTGGTTCCAGGTACACAGTAATTAAAGCCTTTGCTGTCCATGTAGAGCTTTAACTATGTTTTTTTTTTTTTTCCCCAGACTGTTTTATGGCTTAGCTGTACATTAAGTCTTAAGTTGCTTATCATCTTTACATTGATTTGTAGCTGAATCCACATAGTCTTGATTTTAATTGAATAAGATTGAAGACGAAAAAACTAAATTAGATGGATGGATTTTTGCAAGTCTGCTCAGTCTGGAAATCTAATGTCCTTTTGAAACGCAGGCATAAGCTGTGGGACTTGGTCATTTACAGATATGAAGGATGCATAAGCCTTTCTCTAGGAGTCTTTTATTAACAATACAAGAAGTATTTGTGAATCTAGTTTCAGTAGTTTGTAAGTACATGTCCAGGAATCCTTCACAAAACTTTCTTTTACTGTTTTAGCCCAGATAGCCTAAAAACATTACACAGATGCTCTGATTTTAGACTGTTGGGAAGGTTTTGTTACACTCTTTCCCTCTAGTTATTACCACCATCTTCCTATAGTCATTGACTGACTGTATGACTGTATCCAATCAGTTATTTTCTGACAGATTTAAAGATATCTGTATCTATAATGGAAAATCTCAAGTTCTCAGCCTCTACATATGTCAGCCTAACTTCTGGGTTCACACAAAGCTTAAATGAATGGTGATGATGATACCCATATGTCTTGAAAGGGATCAGGACTCCTGCTAAGGGTTTGGGTTCAATGGAGAGAGGATGTGGTATTACTGTCAGGTAATGCCCAAAACTAGATGTGAAAGATCCTAACAAAGGATAATATAGACTGGAGCATTGGTAAGTTAAAGGGAAGCATCAGTGTTGTGTATGGATACCTTTTTTGATGGTCTAGGATTTTTCATAACGCCTTGCCTTTTTTTCTATACATAATACAGACCTGCTAACATAGATGATGTAGAAATTGTTTTTGAGCTGGTGAGAATAACACGGTAGAAAATGTGGAGGTGGTAGAGATCAGATAAGGAGAAGGAGAAGATGTAAATAAGTGAATTAAGTTGTAGCTTCACAGAAGAGCAGACTTTTTCATATGACTGTCCACTTTACAGTCATTACACTTTTTGAAGTCTGACGTTTGATTAGTATTTTATATGATTCTGTATCCGGAAAGTTTGAGGAAAGTCAGTCATGTGAACTTTTGTTTGTTATATCTGCCTGTGCATGTTCCTGTGTAACTCATTTGCCATACATACCTCCTTAGCAATCACAGAACAGATAGCTCTTCCCTTTTGCTTATTCAAGTCACTCCCTGTTTGCCACTCCTGGCTCTTCCTTGCATCAAAACTAGGCTGCAAACATCAGGGCTCATAAGCTTATTGTACTTCTCATTCAAGGAGATAGACCAGGAAATCTAGATTTTAGACTAAACTTTTAAGTTTTCTATTAGTTGAGATTATTTTCAGATTCTAACATGGAGTCTTCTTGAACAGATGTGACAGATGGGCAGTATGGCTATATATGTTGTTGAAGTGTTGGTTTAGAAAGTCTAGAGAAGGTTTGTTGCAAGATGACCATTCTCCTGGAAAAAAAAAAAAAGGGCAGTAAATCATTCTCTGTCTCATTCAGTTAAATCATGTTTACCAATATCAAGCAACCAATTTCATATGCTCAGCCTTCTGCATCTTCTCTAGAGAATATGAAGGTTCTTGAGCGCCGGTTCGACCTTGGTGATGGTGTGCCGAAGTGTTTTGGAAGCACTTACAAGTTTGGTTATGATGTTGCTGCTGCTGCAGCTGGGAGTTCTGAGGGGAGGGGTGTAGCTATTTAGAGAGTTTCTGCTAAAGTTGTGAGAACCCATCTGTCTATGCTCTTTGTCTAGCTGTGACTTTCAGAAAAGCTACACCTAAAGAAGCGCTCAGCCCACAACCAACATAGCTCATGAAACCAGGTTTTGAAGCCATGGGAAAAACGTTCCTGTCTCAGGTTGTAGTTGAGAAAGTGTCCATGGCCAGTCTTAGATGCAGTGAGCTCCAGGATTTCCTGGTAATGTTTTTCCTCACCTAACAGTAGAATACTGGTTTTGCGAGTCCTTCTATTTTTCTGTAAGCTACCCTCTCACTTGTAGAAGCAGTTTGCTTTAGATGCTAAGAAAGTCTTAAAATTGTAAGGACGGATTGTAGTAATACAGGAAATCTCTTCCACTGTTTCATTCCAATGGATTAAAAAAAACTAGCTAAGTAATAGCATTTTACTGCTTTCTAGCTGAAGTAGACTTTGTATTGGAGGTGGCTGTAATGTTCCTTTTTCCTCAGGAGGTTTACAACAAAGATCGCTTTGACAGCTTGTCTTGAGTAGTCCACATTTTATAAATCTGTAGACTTGAAGCTCAATTCATACTTACACAAAGCATATCTAGATTAGATGCACAACTTAGTGAAAAAAACAAAAAGGTTAAGATCTTTATGCCAAGGAGGAGAGATTTGCTTACCAAACTCCTCAAAGTAGAAATGCACAGAGGACAGTTGAGAAAAGAACAAATATTACTTGCTATAATGTGGATGCTTCCCTTTCTTGAGCTGTACTCACAAGTTTGGTTTTGTTGAGCATCTTAGAGGGACTGAAGTTGTGTGTGCGCTACAGAGAGCTTTGCCTGCTGAACGTTTGGAACCAACAGAGTAGGGACAGAAGGTGTGAAACTACTCTGAAAAGCGTTTCTCCACAAAGGTTCTTTGGATCCAAAGAACTGGCAAATAATTCCTTTCATGTCTCCTATTCTGTTTATCCCTATAAGCATCCATCCTCTTATGAATATGAAAAGCACCAGCTGAGCAAGATATTTTTGTCATCATTAACAAAACTGTAACAGTGGCAGAACAACAAAAATGGAGACATAGAATGTCATTTAAAGTGCTAAGAAACACTGCCTGGGCTGTTCTCTTTTATCTTCTGTTTCCAGAGAAGCCAGCTCACGCTGGGCTTCAGTTCTAATCTATAGCAAGGCTCTTGGGGCAGTCTCTACTCTAGGGCAGAGGGTAATCCTGATTAGGGTAGTTAGTAGGTGTCTTATATCTGGGTGGAAAAGGAATCCATGACTAGGACCTTCCTTAACCTAATCTCATAATATCTTACTGATGGGCCAAGAATAAGGTGACCTGATGGACATTATGTGTTTGATATGTGTATATCCTTTGCAAATTACATTGTTGTAAAGGCTGTAACTGTGTATTTTTGGTATGTTTACAGGGGTGACCCTTCAATTGTGAAACTGAATATTGCTATTACCACAGGCTACCTCATTTCTGGTAATTATGCAATGTGTATATACCACACACAACCTGTATATTTATACTGAGTCACTGCCTATATATTTATACTGAGCCACTATGCTGGAGATGTGATATGTGTATACAATATGGTTTCTACCGTGGCTTTTAAAATTGCTAATGGAGTTGTGGGTTGTGGTGAAATCACAGGATCTTGCCAGCGGAAGTGAAAGATGAAATGATATCTCCCCAAGCACTAAGGAAATGCCGCTGTGTGGCTTTATCATGGTTTGATATATAACCACCAACTCCAGCTCAATTTTGTCCTTCAGCCAATTGAGAAGGTGTTAAAGCAGTGCCCTTCACTCCCTTCAGAGTGTCTATAACTCGTAGCTCTTTTATCATATGTTTCTTCTTGTGACTTCAGAAGGCTGGCAGAAGAATTTTAGTAACCCTCAATACAAGCTGAGGCAAATGATGCTGTAGGATCCTGCCCACCCACCTTTTAGTCTCACTTCAGGCCAAAATTTAGTCATGTATAAAATGTGAAAATATTTAATGATTTTCTTGGTATGGCGTTTACCCCTACGTATATTTTGTGTTCTGAATTATTTGCTGTCAACTAAAATTGGCATGGGAATTTTGCTACAAAATGCTTTGGAGCTTCTTTTATGGTGTGTGTGGATAACACTGACTAATCAAAGCAAAAATTTGTTGTGAATTGGACTATTTTCAGGGAAAACTTCTCATGTTAGGATGGAGTCTCTTGTCAGAGACTGGGCCACGGACTTTATCTCTCAGACTAGATTTCTCACCCCAGTGGAACTAATAATCTGGTGATGATCACACCCAGTTAATCTGTGGGTTAGTTTAAGTCTCTTTTTTTCCATAAGAACATCAGCTCCCGTGTTTAAATTCATCGGTATCTATTTTTGAATAATTATGCATTAGACTTTCATTATGAATTAATGAATGGCTTTGAACAGAGACCCGAACCTGGCTACTCGTTCCCTCTCACTTCCTTATATAGTTAATGTTTAATTATTAATAGGAAGTAGAGTGACTATGTCAGATGATATAGAATCCTGCCTGAGAATAGCTAATATAAAAGAGATCAAGGTACTCAGTGGAGATACAAAAGACACAGGAGCAAAGCCTTTGATTTGGAACCTTGGTCACTAATATTCTAGTTCAAAGTACTCATTTGGAGAAAGTAGGGACAGAAATTGCTTGTTCCAGTACAGAAAAGTAAATACTCTGAAATCTCAGAGCATTGTGGGAGAAGAAAGAACTGTTCTGTCAAAGCTTTCTTTATAAAGTTAATTTAGGTCCACTATATCACAGTTGCAGTAATTGGAAAATTCTGATTAAATAAATCAAACATGCTTCTCATTCCAAGTGCCCCTTGTAAAATACTTTTGGTAAATGGTTCCCTGTTTGCTGATTGCTACTTTTTGATTCAGAAGTTCCCCGTAACAGATCCCTGCATTTATTGCATGTATCTGTATTTTGGTTAATGCCCCCTGTAGGCCCCCTGCCCTTTATTTTTTTGGCACTTGTTCCGAACTTGTGGGTTCATAAGTATGAAGTCTTGCTATGAGATTTGGGATCCACTTTCTCCTAAAATATTTCAGCTAAAGTTACTACTTCTGTACTTCCACTGATGTGGAACATAATCATTTATGGCAACTGTTGGAAGAATACTGTTGCTTAATGCTTGGAGTAAAGTAAAGTCTTTAGGATAAAGATGTTCTCTTCAGAGACAATTAATATGGAGAGTTTCTACTAATGGCATATATTGGCATTTATACCTCTAAAACTTAGAGAAACACTATTCTGAGGTCAATGGTAGTATAATAAATTGTTATTTATCATTATTTCTTTTCTCTTGTAGATTTGTTGCTTATTATTTACTACTGGAAGGCAATTGGTGACAAATTTTTTGTAATACATCACTTGGCAGCTCTGTATGCTTACTATTTTGTACTGGTGAGTGCTGTATTTTCCAGTAACGTAACAGGGAGATGAGATTAAAGAATGTGCTTTTATAGATCTCATTTGCTTAATGTTTAAAAAAAATTCTTCACTGTTTGGTATTATCTTTGTGAAAGGCATATTTATATTTTCAATCATCACTGCTTTCTAAATGGTTTTATCAGTAATTTGTGTTAAGTGCATGTCTTTTCGATGTTACAGTCCTTCAACAAAAATGTGTAACTTAGCTGCTGAAATTAAAACTCATCTCAGTTTTTGCTGTAGAGAGACTTTGACAGAGGGGCTTTTCACATGGTTATAGAAAGGATTTAAAATAAAACCACAAGTCTGAATATTTAGTTGGAAAATTAGAAGAAAATGGTTTCAAGTGGTTAAGTTCTACTTGCAATTGTATTGCAAAGCCATATGTCAGTGAGCCCTAACTGGTGAATGTACTACAGTCAGCTGGGTGTGTTTTTTCTGGGGTGGGTTTTTTTTTTTTGATATCTGTTCTGACACAAACTGATCCTCTGAGACTTCTTGTTTAAGGTTACTTTGGTGGGGAAACAGTGAATGATTAACTGTAAATGTCTGCGGTGTATGTACATTGAAGGGAAAAGGGGAAGAGAAGGATACTGTTCTAGGAAAAAGACTAACTTAGTTACTCTGCTGCTGCTGGGATTTCTCAAAGATGTCCATGTGACTTGGTAGAAATCCCATTGACCTCCAGAATAATGCTCCTGAATTTCTTCTGAAAAGCTTATTCAGTAAAAAAAGAAATCTTCTAAAATACAGTTTACTTCATTTACCACATTTCTATCCCTGCCTACTGTGTGAATCCCAGGTTTACAATATTAAAAGTGTTTAGATGCCAGATTACTGTCAGATTTCCCATGTAATGGTTTAAAGGGGATGAAGTACACTGACAAGTAAATACTCTGTTTCAGGTTGAAGATAATTAGATCTACTAATATTATCATGGATGAAAGTGAATTAGAACTGATTATTAGAGAAATGAAAATACCACTACCAAGGCTAATCCCTGATGCAGAAAATTCATTAGTTGTTTCTAGAGTAAATAGAAATCGTAGTGTTAGCGTGAACTTCTTTTAAAGCAGTTATTTGGATATAGCTCTGCCCTTGGATGTCTGTGTGTTACTCTCATTCTCTTTATCTTCAGAGAAAATTACTTATAAGTATCTTATTTCAAAAATTGCTCTTGAAGATAGTGGAGAATTTGATTAAGAACACAGATTTTCTGTTTAGTGTAGTGCAAACTGGCATGAAATGTCAGTGAGTATTAGCACACTTGCTGGGGGAAAGAGGAAGCACGACACACACTCCATAGGTTGTTCAGGAGACCTACCGAAATTTTTAAAAAAATCTTTTATATCTTGAAACTGGTGCTTACCCAGCCATTGTGTAATGGAGCACTATTTCCAGCACAACCAAACGATAAGGCAGAGAATATGCTGTACTTTGTCGCTTGGAAGAAAGTGCTCAGTTACATGTATTGGTGTGACAATGTACCACGCAGTTACCCGGGGAATGGCATGGAGATGTCCTCTTCTTCCAGCTGCAGGGCACGGCAGGGACTGCCGCGGAGCTGGGGGAAAGGGTTTCCCCTGCAGTGAGGAGAAGAGAAGAAGGGGCTTCATGTGCCCTTTCTGCTGACAAATAAGAGCTGGGAATTCATCATCACTTTGGCAAATTATGTGCTTAAATCAATGCAGGGACATTTTTCTTTAGTTTATAGTGTTTCTGTTTGAGCTTCTTTAAACATCGAGAAATCCAAAATGTTTATAATCCTCCTAGACAGTATCATTATAATTATAGCCTGTGACTACTTGTGCCAGTCTTCTCTAGCTAGCTTTCCATGGTCACTCTACTGTAAGTCTTTTAAAGATTTATTTAAAGTAAGAAACTACTGATTTGAGATACCTGAAGAACAATTGCAGCTTTTGCAGTAAACCTCACTTTGAAATTTTAAGGAAGTTGGCCACAGGTGGCAAACCTGGTTACTATGGGATTTAATAAAGAAGTTGAGACATTGTATCATTCTGTGTATACCTGAAGACTTTAATCAAGATTTCACATCTACATTGTTGATTTTTGTATGTCTGTTTTGTTTTGCTAACCAGAGCAAAGGTCTGTTGGCTTATTTTGGAAACTTTCGTCTGCTTGCAGAGTTCTCCACTCCTTTTGTCAATCAGCGGTAAGTGGTTAGGGAATTTTTGCATAGTTCTTCTAAATTTAAATATGTATTATTATTTCTGTCACTTAGAAGGTTTTTTTTGTTGTTGTTGTTGAATGTATGCTGAAAGGGAATTTATATAGATTGAACTAAGGATTACTATGTGGAAACCTTTTTTGCTATGAGAACTTGTTGCTGCTATAGCTGCAACAGTATAACTAATGTATTCACCTCTGAGTTACTTTCTAGCTTAGGCCAGCCTTCACATGGAAGGGCAAATTTTAATGAAACTACTGGACAAAAAAGTTCACAAATATAATATTGCTTATTAGCCTTTGTATGCTCACTTAACTGATATAATAAAGCCATCATATACAATAGGGAATTTTTTTTTTGAGTACCATGGACCAGGAAAAGAAGCGAGATAACATTGTCATCAGGATCCTATAACGGAATTGCATTGCCCTAGAGAATCTCAGGTTTATTTTGCAATAGTGCATACACCTACATCAATATTAATATATGCATATGAATATATAGAATAATATAAATGTATATTCTTTATGTACTTTCAAAAATAGTTCTGGAAATTATTTTGAGCACTTAAATTAGAAAAATAGTAAATCACCTAAGTATATCTGTAATGGTTAATCTTGACACTTGTGGTCAGAGAAGAAAGTGGCAGAAGGCTCTTTTGCAGACTCTTCACTCAGTGAGAGTCGAAGCCTGCCATGGCTTCTAGTTACAGCGTTGCTTCTAAAATTGCTGCTGTGAGTATCAGAAATGGAGTGTGACAATGCCATGTGCTGCAGGTAGGGAAAAGCAGTCAATGGAGTTTCCTGGTGCTCTGGGAAGAGTAGCCTCTCTCCTTACTTTGTAGCCACCATGACCCAGCTGGGGACAGGGATTAGCCACAGGAATAGGTCACCTCAGGAGAGGGGCTTTGGTATAGGGCGGTGCTGCAGAACTCTCCTCTTCCTCCATTTTTTTGCAATGTAGGATCAGATCTTTCAGTGTATCAGATGCCTATTCCTCACCCATACTCTTTGGGGTGTATTTATACTTTACTGATCCTACATATGTGGCATCTATTTTCTCTTCCAGGTAGAGGAAGGGTAAGGTTTGTAAGGCAAATAGGAACTGTAATCCTCCTGCAAACAGAGTATCTGTGTATTGCCCGTTACTGCATTGTGACTGTCAACTCTGAAATACTTTGAGACTGTAGCATTCCTCAGATCTCTAAGAATAAAGAAGATTGTGCTGAGATCCCTTTTGAACATTAGCTTGGCAAATTCAACTTACGGGAGAGCCGGGTGGGATAATGGAGCGCTCCAGAGGTTGCTTTCATTCGCCCAGGTGCAGTTGAGTAGGAGATTGTAGCCTAATGTAGTCAGTGCTCCGTATGCACAGAGAAACTGAGGAGTAAATATATACTTCTTTAAACTTATTTTAGTAATACAAGGAAGAGGAGAGTAAGAAAATTAAAAATGGTGGTATTATAGTCTAGGTTTATATATTGAAATTCATGCCCTAGCGAATATCCATTCTCCTACCTGACTTCTGCCAAGATAGGATTTCATCCTCTGTTTAAGTGGTACCTATATCGATGGTACCTGTATTGATGGTTACCTTTCAGACTGTGGCTTTAGGAAGTATCATGATACATCTGGTTATTAAAAGTAATATGTGTTATACTTTTAAAATGCCTATGGTGAGGTCATGTGTCTTTGAATACCAACATTTACTGTTTTCTCAGAAAAATTAAAATGACTATAGGAGATAATGAAGTCCCTTGCACTAAGGGATGTCATCTCAGTTCACGTATGGTTTTTGGGTTTGTTTTTTTAATTAAATTTGAAGAGAACCAGATGCTTAAGATAGTAAGTAGTGGATAATGATAATGACTTGCATTATGTTTCTTGTTTGCATTCTTAGTATTACCAAAAGAGCTATTATTAAAATATAAAATGATATTCTAATCTCAGAACTGTCTATGTATTTCCTGTCTGTGTTGTTAGGGATATCTAATTGGAGGTTGTCTCCATGCCAAGCATTTAGATCTTTTAATGTTAGTGTCAGCATTTACGTAATTAATTATGAACTGTGGTGAGTAGATTTGTAATGATAACTATGATTTACTGACTTATTTTTTTTGAATTTGCTGGGACGTTGCTAAGCAGATGTCCAGTTATCTATATCAGCACATTGCAATATATTTTAAAACCTTTTTTTATATTACTTTTGGAATCTGCATTGTGTATATCAACAAAAGTACAGCCTCTGATTGTTAGTCTGACCAAATGTATCAGTTCCCTCTCTTCATCATCCCAATAAGTGTTTCTGTGGTGAGGCATCCTGTTTCCAGGCTGGACTGCCACCTCGAGTGCCTGGATTTTAATTGTCTCAGCTGCACTCTTAATGAATTTCTGGAGTATTTCTGTTAAAGCTGGATGTCTGGAAAATCTTTTTAGAATAACTATAATTACATAGGTTGTAATCTGTAGGTAATTAAATTAAACATTACTTTAAGAAACAGCTCTAGAACTGTTGTTTTGTTAAATATTTTACCCTTATATCTTCTTGGAAATAAATTGATTATTCCAATTCCCCTCCCCATCCCCCATCACTAATACAGTGATTTAAGAAATTTTCCTCTGGTCCTGTCTTTAACTTGTTGTTGTTGCACAAATTTTCCTTGCATTTATTCTGATTTAAGTGTGAATGATAAAGAATTCAAGGAGTTTGCTGTTCCTTTTTCTAGGAATTCAACCTGCAGGTTCTGTGTGCTAGGCAATAGATAAATTACTGCCTGTCTACTAAGTAATTAATATGCTAGATTTTTTTTTTTTCTAAAAACTGCTTATGAGCCAGTAGTAGTAGTGGGAGATGGGGTTTTTAGATTTATCTTTTTCACTGCATAATATACTCAGCTATGACATGATCCATTGCCATTTACAGTGTCTGGTTCTGAAGTTCTAGTTTCGGGCTGAACAGAAGCAGTCAGAAAATCCCAAATCTGAGAAACTGGAAATTAGAGCTCTATCTAGATTGCCATATCGAAATATAATGCTAGAATCGCTTTCAGGGAAACAAATAGAATTTTAGTTGCCCATTGGTGCAAAGTATAGTAATAAGCACTAAATTTGTATTTATCATTTTAAAAGAGAATTTGAATTATATTGTATTATGCAATAGTCGCTGAAATGCACACTGGTTGTCAACTGGTTTACAATTCAGATCAGAATTTTCTACATATTATTCTGTGATGTACTAGATATCACATACTGCTTAAGTGGGGAAAAAAAAATGCAGCCAAGCAGAAGAATTTTCAACTAAGCCAAGACACAGTGCCGTAATTTAGAAATTATAAGGGTGTAGGAGCAATTAATAAATTATTAACTAAAAAAAAAAATGAAATAAAATAATTTTTAATGAGATGGCTTCAAGTGTGCCTGGTATCAGTGAACACTTCTTTTGCAGGTGGTTTTTTGAAGTACTGGGATATCCCAAATCTTCAAAAGCCAACATCATTAATGGTGTGCTGATGACAGTTGTGTTCTTCGTGGTGAGGATTGCCGTCATGCCTACATATTACAGCCATGTAATTTCTTCATTTGGAACAGAGGCTTTCCAGAGATTAGGATTTGCAGCCCAGAGCGCCTGGATTATCTCAAGTGTTGTCTTGGATGTTATGAATGTGATGTGGATGGTCAAAATTGCAAAAGGATGCTACAAAGTCATTTGTCTTATCGGACAGGAGGAAGCCAAAACTCATAGAAATGGAAAATCTGACTAGAAATCATATGCATAAAATGAAATTTCTGCTATGAAAATAGTTTGAGTTCACTGAAACAGTGCACATTTCTGCCATGGAATGCTCCTATTAAGGAAACAAGGTATTACCTCTGTACTGACCTTATTCTTTCCCTAGCCACACTGCCTGCACACCCAGGGCCACGCTTTATGGATCCTGTCTGATGAGGAATAAAAGCAAAAGCTCGCACAAATGAGTTCCACATATCTGTTCTAAGCAGTTACAAGCTACTGGAATTAGAAATGAGCAGACTGGTTACTTGCTTGTTATCCACCAGTGTGTTCGAAGTGTTTCACTCAGGTTTCTTAGATTAATGTGTTTTATAAATCCAATGAGTACTGACATCTCTCTTTTTTTAGAAAACAGAAAAACTCCCCAAACTCCTGATATGGTGCAATTTTCCTGGCACGTTTCTATGTTTTCCTCTAGGAATAACAATCAAGATTTCATTCTTGACAACTTTTTAATTTTTGCAAGAAAATCTAAAAATTTAGCTTTGATTCTGTGAAGTCTTTTACTGGTTTTTGTTCTGCCTTCTATGAATGCAAACCATTTTGGGAAATTTATGAAATAATTTTATCTAAAGTATTGTATTATAAGATTACAGAATATCTTAAAAATTGTTGAAATTCTCTGATCTTGATGAGAAGGATTCACTTTTGCTCTCTTATATTACATGCAATACTGCATCTTCTAAATTGCCCGTGGGATTTTTTTCATAAGTTAGTATGGTAAATGATGTGTGAAAACAGCATAATTCCTACTGGAGTGCTTTTTCCTTTGCTGCTGCTACCTTTGAGAAGTGCTGCAACTCTCCTCAGAGTATTTTTAACCATTGGCTATTTGGATACAAAGTTTAATTGTAAAGTGTTTAATTTCTTCTGTGTATGTGATGTGTAACTTACAGTAGTATTTTTTCTTTTATCAAGAAATGACCCTTTTGATATGAAGTGTAGAGGTTTGCATTGTTTTTCTGAGATTTGAATTCTTGAATTAACTGTGCCAAACTTCCATAAAGGTATATGGTAATTCTGTAGAATGACAGTTCACTTCTGTAGGCACAATATTTTATTTTTTTTTTAAACCATGTATTTGTCAGTAGGTACTCTGTTCCTTTTTCTGCAAACTTAAAGGTTTGGAGGGCATCAGAGAGGAGCCTTACCATCTAGGAATATTATAGAATCAAATTATCTAATTTATAATACAATTTGAGGAAATTCTGGGGTTTGTTTTATTTTTAAATGATTTTAAGAGCTGTATTTTTGTGTAGTTTGGTCTTGTTTTGCTTGCTTTAAACCATATCTGACTTGGGACTGATTAACTTCTGTTTTTTTTCCCTTGGTGTGAGGTTTTTTGGTGTTTTTTTTTTTTTTGTTTTTTTTTGACATTATTTGTTATATCTTCTGGTAAGGTGTGCTAAAAGTATCCATTTTCACTCAGTACTTTAGTGCACATAGCAGTTACTGTAGCAGACTGTTTAAGCAATTTGTTTTTAAACAAAAAGGTAAAATATTTACTCTGTGTAAGGTAATTAGTTTTCCTCTTGTCCTGTTCCCTCTAACAAAGCCGAGTGATGTGTACTCTCCCCTCTGTAGCTGGAGTGTGAGTGCCTGATACTGTGCTCCTGGGTGAGGGACGCAGCATTCCCCTCTTCCAGGAATCCGCTGTCTGTAAGACCCCAAGAGGACTGCATAGCCTGAAATGCCTTATAACAAAGGCATCTGCAATGAGTTTAGTTCCCCGGTTAAAATGATGTCAGGGAGTATTGTTTAGGCTAACATAATATGCACTTTTATAGGCCTAGTTCCACTGTTTAACTGGGCAGGCTTTCTTCCAAAATGGTTTCCCAGTCCTGCCTTGTTGAAGGAGATATCAAGGATTGTTAATACTTCTGCTTTATGGATTCTGTACTTATTAATACTTCAGAAGCCTGCAGACAAAAGATTCGTTTATGCCTTGGGAAAGTTGGCAATTAATCTGGTTAGCTGTAGGATTTGAGTGAGTACAGTACTTTATGTGGGTACCAGTAAATCCATAGTCTTTGAGAGTTGATCCTGTGACCTGCTTTGCTGAAAGAAACAGGCTCCCTTTTATACTAATTTGCAGAACCTGGTATCTTTCAGAATAGTGATTTCAATGTATGTAATGTAAAATCTAGGCAATGTACAAAGGCTCAATGTTTCTGTCACCTTTATGTTTTAAAAGCATACACGAATTACTTTTTTCTTGTGCTTTTTAAGTCACTAGACCAGGGAATCATTTTGTAATACCTTGTTCCTTTCTAGAATAAATTTTAAGTTGAGTAAATTCCAACATTTTTGAGAATATGTTTGAAAGTAGAAGTCTGCTTTTGTTATTCAGGAAGTAGGATGGAAAAAAAAATTGATAAAGATGATGATTTGGAACAACTCTTAAGGTGATAACTCATGAAAACTGTTTGAAACTCACCCCATTTTAGCATTAATCTTCAGTATTTCAGTACATTTAATCCTTTGTTTTCAATGGAGAACATTTATTAAAATGGCCCATTTCCTTCACTTCTAGGTGGGCCTGTTTGATAGGGAGGGAAAAAAGGTAAATCAAACTACAATAAAATTATGTTAAAACTAGATTGAAAAAAAACCCTGAAACCCAAACCCTGCATAATACACTTTGGGCAACAATCTGGAACAGAAGGGCAGTGGGTCATTATTTAATAACATGTAATATTTCAGATCACTGTACAAAATTAGTGTAGTTAAACCAATATTTTGCAATGCATTATGTTTAAATTTTCTATTTTTTTTTTTTTATGTATTACTATTATGTCTTGATGCACTTACTATGTGTCAGAAGACAACTTTCTAATGAAAAAAATTAACATTTGTGCATTCGGCAAGGACTGTAGTAAACAGGCTGCAAAGTTGTGATGTACTGAATACATTAGTATAGGGCACTTTAGAAGCTTGTAATACAGCAAATTAGATAGATGTGGCACTCATTTTTCAATTGCACTTCATTAATTTTAAAACTGTGGTGAAATATTGATGAAATCTAATGTTGCAAGCTTGTGTCTGCTTTTTTATGCGAAAAAGAAAATGCATGATAAGTAGCATTGTAATAAATGCTACCTTTAGAATGTAATATTATCTTATTAGTGGCTTAAAACTTCTATTTTTAACAGTTGCATCGTCTAGTGTAAAAGCAGACTCTTGGTATGTCACCAGGTTTCTTTGCCATGGACATAAACAAACGGAAGGAGTTAATCCTGTAAAAAAATGCTCAGATATCTTGTTCTTCTTTTCTTTTACATTCTTCAGTACCAGGTGACACAAAATTAGCACAACGATCGTGGTGCTATTTGTACTGTTAAGGCTGTATGTAGGAATGCAAATTTCCCTTTTTTATGGCTTTACTTTTTCATCACAAGATGAGTAATTACCACTTTCAGACCTACTACAGGGGAATGGTAGGTAAAGTTTTGCTTTCATGGTTGATTTGTGGATACAGTACTTGCAGAGAGGAAATGTACTTCAAATACTCATTTTCTCAGTGAGTGTTCCAGTGGATTTCAATGAAGTCAAGAGCCTTGCACTACAGAGATGCTTTATGGGTTATCTATGTGCATTCTTCAGTAGAAAGAATTACATCTCTGATGCCTACTGTACCTCTGTAAATACATACTATCTTGAGTGGGCTCCATAATTTGATAATTTAATTGCTTAAAAAATAGAACCTATTGAATAATGAAAAATACCCTATGCACAGGAAAATGAGGAGATCTGACATAAAAATTCATAACAATTCAAAATTTTGTGTTAAAATTTATAAAAAATGAAATTAATTACAGTATCTGGAAGAGAATTACTTCCATCTTTACTTGGAAAATTATGGGAGAAGATGACTCATACTGCAGAACTAACGTTAACCTAAGAGTAAAAGCTTTCACAAGTGAGGAAATGTGTTCAAGCAGGTTTAAAGAGGAGAGGTGGATCCAGCTGTCTTCCTGCTGCTGTGGTTGGGACAACAGCAGGCTGATAGGTAGCAAAAAGGTTTAGGTATTTGTATATCTCTGTTCACAGTGGAAAATTAAACTTTTCTTTAGTGGAAAATTAAACTTTTCTTTAATGTGTTCATGCTGTATAAAATGGGTTATCAGTTGTTGATTGCTGTTTGAAGAGGACTTTCTGTCATGGACTTGTGTGTCTTTAAGTACATGTACATACAAGCTTTCTGTAAAAGATCATCTAATAGAGAAGTTTGTAAAATTGTTTTGTGATGCTTCTGCTGAGCCATTTGGAGGAAAATTAAAGGGCTGCTTGACAATTACTTCATCTTAGGATCAGGTGCAGTGTTGGCTGCTGGCGAAAGCCATCAATAAAGCAAATAGAAAGGGACTAGGATTTTCAGATGAAAAAATACAAGTGTAGAAGTCTTTGAAAAGTATGGGCAGCCCTCTTGCATATTTTTAATAGCCTACTGTACAACATCATTATCTGGCTACAAAGAACTTCATGAGGAAGGATTTGTTCCTGGTGGAGTTTCTCTATCTATGGAATATATTTGACACCTGGAAAGAGAACAGTATTTCATTGCTGAGATCCTGACAGCAGTCAAATGGAAATAGTGACCAATATTTATGAACTTTAACATTCATCCAAATCCAGGTAAAATCTCTTTGTTGGACAGGTGAAGGTCTTAGCATTTTCTGAAAGCAACTTGAAAGTTCTTTTTATGGTAGAGATGATGAAGATGTGGTGCTTGGGATGTTTAGAGATCTGGGACTAAGCATCAAATCACACTTTTATGTAGTAACATTTGTTAAGGTTTCTTATCCATTACAAATCTCTACTAGCTACCTCCTTTGACATTCTTGCTCTATTTATAATAACCAAGCACTTTATAGCTCAGTAAATAAAGGAAGGTAGCTATGAAGAATAAATTGTATTGTTTGGTATAAGAAATATTTTGGCAAAATTTCTTCTGAGATCAGTTTCATTGTGTGATGTCCTGCACGGGGAGGGTATGTGATTATAATGATGTATATACATTTTTAATCTACTTGTAAAGGAAATGTCTTTAAGGGAGTAAATTATGGAGAGTTTAGCATGGCTTGGTATCAACCATATAATGATTTCAGTGTGCTATTTATAACTTCCTACTTAATGAAATTGAAAATATAAAGGCAAATAAAATATTCTGTAGTGTATCTTTATTTTTAATCTATGTGTGGGATGTCAAACATTGTACTTGTCTTGTGGACAGGACATGCTTTTATGAGCCTACAAATATTTAAGTATATGAGAATCTGCACCCAAGTGGAACATGTTGCATGTAAATTGTCTTCTAAATTTTAAAATTTTGATATTTTTAGAAATTTGCTTGGTTTGAAAGCAACATTTACATATTGATACCAGGCTGTAACACAGAACATAACACTTTGAGTGCAATGTGGGATATATTTGCTTTGTTTATTGTAATCCTATTCTAGTTTCACAAGAGATATCCATCATACAATAAGGGGAAAGGAGGAAAAGGGCTAATCATGAGCTCGGCTATATAATTTGCACACTTAATATGCACACATCCAAATATCCTGAATTTGTTTCTAGCATGCATATACCAAACAGTGTTTTCTTTAATACTGATAGATACCTATGTCTGTAGAATAATTTAATGTGTAAGCACAGCTAAACTGATATAAAACCAAATTACAAAAACTGTTGGGAACAAATGAGTTACAAGTTAGGCATAAGTAATGGAGCCTGTAATTCAAAAATGTTTATATAATCTTCTCTCTAAGAAGACACTTGATCAATATATCTAACTCATGCAGAGCAAGGATGTAAATTCTGCCAGACTGATTTCTGGTAAATCTTGACAATCTGGTTTGCCGTAAATACTAATACTGTCACAAAATTTCAGGGTGGCATTATTAAATTCAAATAGTAATGTGGCCCAATTGTAATAGCAATCCTTATCACGGCACAAGAACTTAAAATTGCAATATAACAATTCTGCAGATTGGTGATAAAGGTAATCAGTCTTAGTAAGGCAGATGATTGAGTATTATGGGTTTAAATTTACTTTTCATTATAAAAATATTTCTTAATTATATGTTTGCATTTCAGTGTTATTGTAAAGCATTTCTATATTTTGATTGAACAGTTTAGGAGCTTGCATAAAATGATATTGGCTGATTTTTTTTTTTTCATTTCATATATGCAATAATGTCAATAAGCAATAAATTGCATGTTGTATGCAAGGTATTGGTACTTCATAATAAAGGAAAGGAACACAGTTTCTTATTTGTGAATTTGTCTTTCTTAATACGGTAGTAGCTTGTGTACCTATAATGAATGCATCATGAAAGAACAATTTTTGTTAGGTTCAGTTCAGAAACTACTGGCTTATATGGTGTCTTGAAATTTCATATTTTTTTTTTTTTTATTTTAAAAAAGGTGGGGAGGGAGTATGAGGTGTGAGCCACACTATTGTTAGGACGTCACTGAGGCCAGGAATGTAACTTAAACTATAAACTTTGTTGTGTATTGAGGAGAAACTTACAGTGGATAGTATAATTGTATTGCACTGTATTGTAATACCACATTTCAGGACATAAGGTGAACAGTTGTCTGAAGGCTCTAGGGATAAAGAGCTACTGTTGTCAGTGTCTTGTAAATGTGAGGTGCTACACAGTCCCTTACTGAATACTAGGACGGGCAATTAAGTTCCTTAATATGGCAATTCCTAGATTCTATATGTGCAGTGAACGTATGCCTAGGAAGCATGAATTGGGTAGTAAAACTCAGAGGTTTTTCTGAGCATCCTCATAGGAAGTTGCTGGTGTTTTTTATCTTAACGATTGGCTTCCAAGCACGGGAATTGCTCCTGTTTCCTCCGAGTTTTCTTTTGTATTATGCAATGGTTAAATGACTAGAAGAAAAACATTCCAGTGGTTTTTACTTTCTTCCTCTCATCTTTCAAGGGGTATTTAGTTCCATTTGTAAATGATGTTCTTAGGATACTAATTTTACACTGTTAGTGTAGAAGACTACTCGTTAACTTGGTCTGTTTGGAAATTACTGGGAATGCCTGGAAATGTTATTTAGGGTCAGATGCTATATAGGTCAGATTTCCAACTGCTTGAGGAAGGACAATGGGGGCTTGGTGGGAGGCTTTCATATTGGCAATGGGCAGCTTTTAACACTGAATGGTGGAAAGGAAGGGCTAAATGCGGCTGGGAACAAGGGGTGCCTTTGTGAGCCATTCTTAACCTGGCAAATTCCACAAATCTTGCTTAAAGTGTGAAAAATATGCCTCTCCCTAAGATGTAGGATACAGAAAGTATTTTGTATTATCCATTTCTTTATCATGTTCTGGTGCAAACTTGCTCTTCATTTTCTCACAAATTGATTTTTTTTTTAATTACTCTTTTTGTGTTCTTGCTGAAAACTTTATTTTCAGTACTTGTATTGGTGTAATAATTCTATATTAGGGTTTTTTTATTTTTATTTAACTTCACAGTGAATATCTGTCACTTTTTAGATGGTGGACTGCTGTTTTATCATCTTAATTTGCTCTGCTTTTCTGGAGTTCACAGTGTAATATACCTAAGGATGAATTGTGTGCTTTGTTGAGATTGTGACATTGGTGTTCTTTGTAATGCTTTATATTGAGGAAAAAGTATTTGCTACTTGGTTTGTCTTATAAAGGGTAAAAACTGTTATCTATACAATGACTAATAAGTAGTGCAATTGTTGCTTCTGGTGGAGTGTGATGGTGGAAAGTAGGGAGACTGCATACTGACATCAACAACATAACCTACTTTGAGAGGAGGGTGTAGAACCAATTCCCTGTTTGTGAACATCAGAGAGAGAAAACGTGTTGTACCTTAGAGTTGTTCTACCACTGACTTGAAATATTTGGAAGTAGAGATGTCAGTTGGTCTATGGGACACTTATTATTAAACTGTGGTGTCAAGTTGTAGGGAACTGAAGGAATTAATGCCTTAAGCATTCATTGCCACAGAAAACTTTGACAACCTGTGGCCTTTGTAATTAGTCTAAGGAACGCCGCCCAAGGAAGAGCGGAGTGTATTGAAGGATGTATGGCTTCACTCCCTTGCGGTTGTATTGCCAAAGTGCTTGGATAAGCCTCAAAGGAGGGAAACATGGACTGACTGAAACCATAAGTTCATGTTAGAGAGATAAATAACCAGCACCAGATGGACCTAAGCAAAAACTGAGGAAAAAATAAGGCGGGGGGGAGGGGGGGCAAGCATGACCTCCAACTCAATTGACATGTGCGGAACCAATGTTCCACCTTTTACTCGTCTCTCATGTAAATGAGTTTGTGGAATACCTGGCTCTTTTGGTCTAGTATGCTAATCAGCTGATGAAGGTGAACTTAAAAGGCGACAGAAAACTTTGCTGCATGTGCATCTACCACCCAATATAACTGGACCTGAGACAACGCTGGAGCCTGGGTGGTGAACCGGATTCTTTTCCTCTTTCTGTCCTTTTCTTTCCTATGGATTTATCAATAGATCACATTGCTTACTATCCTTTTCCAAGTTTAAGTTGTTTCTACTGCAAGTAAAACATTTTAACTGGTCATTTGCTGTCATTTCACCTTAATTTAACCTGAGGGGATCATGGAACCTTTACAACTCCCTGGGCTCCCAGTCTGGGTTGTAACACAAGTGCAGCAAGTGAAGACTAGAAGTGGTTGTATCTTGTTTAGTGCTGCTTACACAGCTGTTACTGTGAAAGCAGTCTTAGAGATTTCAGCAAAGCCAAATACGCTTCAAACTTGGGCAATGATGAAGGCAATCATAATGTTTTCTAAGGCTTATAATAGAGACTCAGCTACTGATATGGTGCCACTTTCCTAACTCCGGGTTCTCATTATGCTGTGCTAATAATGCTTGCATGCAGAAAGAGTAGGAAATCATTTCTTCCTACATAATAAAGACTATAAAAGGGCAAAAGATGAGTGAAAGGATGGATATTTGATATTACTTTATACTTGTATTTTTATTTTGTGTTCACACTGAATAGCCATGTCCTTGTTAATAAAAAAGATCCTATTTTGAAAGATGGTATGTGAACATGTTCTTAAAAGCACTCTGGACAGGCATGCGTAAGGTAAGTTTTTTAATTCAGGTAGTTATATAATTTGAAATAGTGCTTGCTACAACTGCTTCAGTGTGGTTTAGAATTTCTCTTTGTTAATCTTTCTCACCTTTTTCAAAAGAAATGGGAGAGAATCACTCCTTTCTCTAAACCAAAATACGTGCAAGAGAGACTGTCTTCCAGATTTGAATTTGGATTTTCTTCATCCCAAGTTAATGCAATAACTAGGCCACTTGGAGCTTAAGTTCTGGCCTACCTTAATTTTATTTTTAATTTCTCCAACGAAGTAGGATGTTTCAGAAAAAAAAAATGGGTTTTTTGGTCAGTTCTAATTGTCATGTATTTATAATGAATGTTTGCCTTGCGTGTCCCCACCTGCCTTTTGCACTAGACAGCCAAGCCAGAGTCCATGTTGTGGGATGAACATTGAAATAGTCCTGCCAGGTTTGTACTGGGTCGCAGCTGTTACTGCACAGCTACGTCTCATCATCTGTTAGTCAAAAAGGGATGAGGTGAAAGTAGCCTTCCTTGCTCTGGTGCAAAATGATCTCCATTTTCTGAGTCATCAAACTGCAGTGTTATGTGCAGTATTTCACACATATAGTTAAGCTGCATCTCCTGGCATTGAAATAAGGCAATATTTTTAGTAAATCTTGAAGAGCTGTCATTACTTGACTAGTTGATGCTTCAAAACCATCTTAAGGAACTTTATCTCACAGCTGCAAGTTTAGTACTAGAAAGAATATGCTCTTACAGTATTGCTTCATTCTGCTCTATACTTTATAAAAAACCCCCCCACATTATTTGCAGTTGTGAGGGATAATGATTTCACAAACACAACCACACCCTGATTTAAGATCACATGTAGCTCTTGCTAACGTAGCCACACGGCGATTAGACGTCAGCCTCAGTACATAAAAACCACTGTTGGCAAGTCTGGAACCAATTATCGTGCTCTTAACTGCGCCCTAAATACACCTGAGCAGCCCTCAGGCGCCCGGGGCCCATGCCTGGCCTTGGGGTTCACCACCTGTGTGCGGAGGGCGGTGCCCCCCGGCCCTGGGAGCGGGCAGCCCGGCGGCCCCCGCCGCCCTCTCGCGGCCGCTCGGCGCGCAGCCGCCTCCCGGCCCCGCCTCCCGGCCCCGCCCCTCCCGGCGGCGGCGGGCGCAGGCGCGGAGCGGGCCAGCGGCGCCGCGGTCTCGCGAGGCGTAGTGCTACGGTCAGGGCCGGTGGCGGCGGCGGCGGCGGCACGGGCCGGGCGGAGGTGAGGGGGAGGCAGCGGCTCCGCCGGCGGCTCCGGCTTCTCTTGGGGCCGAGCGGCGGGGGGAGGCGGGTGCCGAGGGCGGGCGGGCGCGGGCCGCGGGCCGGGCCGGCTGGGAGCAGGGGGCGGGCCTGACCTTGCCCGCGGCCGCCGGCTCGCGGGGTCGGTCGCGGCGTGTGTAACCTTACCGTGAGCGTGCCGCGGTGTGCCGGGGGTGTTGCTGCCCTGTGCGGGCCTGACGGGGCTGCGGCGGGGTGCGGGCAGAGGCCCCCCCGCCGGTGGGCGTGAGGGGACGGGCTGAGCGGCGGCTGTCAGCGTGGGTGTTACTGTAGGGAGCCCCCGCACCGCTGGTCACACGCGAGTTCCCTCGCGGTCAGTCCTGGGAGACCCTGCGGATTTTTATTTAGGCTGGATGTTTATTACTTAATTTTTTGTTCAATTTATTAGTTTGTGGTGCAGCAACATATCTGTACTTGCATTCACCTTAGTAAGTTAACAGAGTAGTTTTGTAGTTTTGTGTTACAGACGTTTACTTTTTGTTCTTTAGAGACTTGATCTGAGAAGACCCGGCGTGTGGAAGCCATGGGTTTGTCTTCATCCTCCCCGGCTGCTGCTGGCCAGCCACCGAACTCATCCAAGCAACATCAGACAACGTCTCCACCTTCAGAATGCCCTATGCATCAGGAAAAAATGAGCGGTAGTTATTCTTGAAACGTAAATGCAATAAACTCCTTACATGGGAAATAGATTGAAAAATATTTTTGGTGAAAGAAAAAAATTAAATATAAGAAGTATGATTCTATAAATAAAAACTTGAGTTTTTTCTTAATCAAAAATTACTCTCAAGTAACTTCATGAAAAGAAGTCAGTTGTTCACCAGAACAGCATGCAAGCTGCTTTGTCTTACTGTGAAGACAGTACGTGCCTGCTGTAGAACTTGTGGGTCGCTCCTGATTGTCACGTTTCACAGGGGCCCAGCAGATCTATTCCCCTCGAGTAGGATGCCCACAAAGAGTCAGGGGCGTGCGAGGGCCCCCACAAAGGCAGTAACTGGGAGCAGGTGGCTGTCACTAGAAAACATGCATCTGGAAAAGGGCAGCGGAGGGGTGGAATAAGATGAGCGTCTAGAGAAGGAGGATGTCAGCTCTTTTGTTGACACAATCAACACGTGTTGGATTAACTTTGCTGTGGAAATCTTAAGTATGGACAGGGCAGTGTAGGGGCCAGCATGGGGTGGGGAATGAGCATTCAAGGGCTACAGAAGAAGCTTAGATTTTACCATGGTGCTGGGTCCTAAAATGTGGGAAAGAGAACAGTTAAAGCTGTTGCAGAGTTCAGAAGAAAAAAGCAAAATATCAGTTTGTATTTACGTGAAAATTCACTGAACTCTTTTCCATTTCCTGTTGTGTCTTAGAGTTTTCATTTTGTAGCAAAATATATATATTTTTTCCTGTATTTCAGGTTGTCCAATGCACATGAACACTCCTGATCATAGAACCGAGAACACAGGTGATGTTCCTGCACATCAAGAAAGAGCATATGAGTTTGTAGCGTGTCCGGTGAAGTCTGGTACATCTCAAGTGAAAGATGACATAGATCCAAGCAATATGGTAATTGTTGCTTATTTCAGATGTTTCTGTCAGTCTTATTTCTTCTGAAATACTATCCACAAAATGTAAATAGTGATACTGTCTAAGGTGGAAACTCTGGCCAATAATGCAATTTTTAACGCTGCTTTTTTTCATTTTGTGTGCAAATACTTGTATAACAACAAGTTACATCTTCTTTAACATTCTCTTCTTCAGATTTTTATCTTTTTGATAAAAAGTGGTTTTCCAGTTTGCTGTCTGTTTCTAGTTGTTAGTGACATGCATGGTTTTTATACTAAGCTAGTGGGGGTTAGGTTCTGTGTAACAGCAATATGAGTACGTTCTGAATCAGTTCTCTCCAAGGTTTCTTCTGATGTACAAAAAGCACTGCTCTCTTGAAAGTTGAAGCTTAGGCAAAAGGGTTCCGTTAGTCTTCAGATGACAAACTAGTGCAAAGAGTTCTGCTGCAAGAGAGAGGTAATTTTTGGTAAATTTCAATAAAGGGTGAACTTCTAGATCTTTGTAGCAGCTGATTGGTGATGCTTTGATTTTTCTTAAACATCGTAACATAAAAAAACGTTCATACACTAGTTTGTTGCTGATTCTCCTTGTTTTCTAGATGCCTCCTCCTAATCAGCAGCCATCTCCAGATCAACCATTTCCATTGTCAACTGTTAGAGAAGAATCTTCCATTCCTAGAGCACATTCTGACAAGAAATGGGTCTACCCTTCAGAGCAAATGTTCTGGAATGCTATGCTTAGAAAAGGGTAAATACACTGTGTATTATTAGATGGAGTCTGTGAGCCTGAATTTCATGAAGTAATATCATTAGTTATTATTTATCGATATTATTTAAGAGTTTGTGGACTCTAAGCAGTAAATAATTAACTAGCTCTTTTAAAAATTATTTTTATAACCAGCTTTATTTTAAAAGGTGAGCTGGTCTCAAAGGCCACATCTCCTGTAGTGATCAGCCAGATCTTCCACTGCCACTAGCTCAGAAAATTTTCTTAGAAGTCAGTGCACAGGCATAGACAAAATTTGCATGATTGCCAGCCTTCAAACTCAGGCGGCTTCATGCTAATCCTATAAACTGATAGTAAAGGTTCTATGATTGTGAGAACATCTCACTTGACTTTGCAAAATTGCTAAAAATGTGAAAATTTTTTGACAAGCAGATGTTTTAATTCTTTACAGAGATTCAGTGTAGACAAGATCTAACTGAATGATAAAGGTCTCCCGTGGCTTAAAAAAACTTTCTGTGCTGCTGTTTCCTCATTCTTTTGTAATTATTTGTTTGTTATTCTCAAATAGATCAACTTTAAAGGCAGTTACTATTAAAACAATAGTAATTCTTAGTTCTATGTATCAATTCTTAAGACAATATGTCATAAGCAGCTCATATTGGACACACAAGTTTTGGTCCTCTAAACATGTAAAAGCATTCAACGATATGCTTGTTGAAGAGGAAGCATGTGCATAGTCATAGTTCAGGGTCAGCGATGAAAGGCCTTTCGAAGTGTATGCAGAATGTATCGAATACAGGACTTGTATGCATTAGGAATGCAAGTGGGCTTTTTCCTAAGCATTTTTATGAATACCGTGGATGTGCTGATGTTTGCACACTCGCATAACTTTCTGGTATGGTTAAGCTGTTAGTGTAGTTAACTAGAATTTGTGGATGTCTACGATGATAACTTTGGTAACTACACTTTTACACAGAAAATGAAGTGGTTCTCAAGATGCTTAAGCAGATGAGCCAGAAGTTTCCATACTTGTTTCGTGTCTTTGCATAAAACCTTAAATCTCTCAATTCAAAAGTCCATCAGATAAACTGAGGAAGGTGGAGTAGTTATGCTGTAACGCTTGTAACCTGTTTTCAAATTCTTATTTTTTAGGTGGAGGTGGAAGGATGATGACATAACAGGTGAAGACATGACCAACATTATTAAGATTCACAACCAAAACAACGAGCAGGCTTGGAAGGAGATTTTGAAGTGGGAAGCTCTTCATGCTGTGTACGTACATATGAAATGACAAGCAAATCCTTTGGTTTAGCTTTTGCTTTTGTAATTCTTTGAAAGTAGAATGTCTCTTGTTTTTGCAGAAATATTCTGGTGCTGATACACCTCAAAAGTTACGGTCTTGTAGGAGCCTGCATTTTGATTAATATGGAGGAAGATTATCCAGAACAGCTTAACTAAAAGTGAATAATTACTATGTTGATAAAACTGATGAGCATTTTGGTGGTGTGTGTATAATATGGATTTGGAGAAATTAACTTCTTATTGTATCTATTTTGGAATTATTTAATTGAAATCTTTATGTTACGAAAAAAATACGAGATGTAAATTTAAACTAAAAGTGTCTGGTGTAAAACAAGCTGTCACCTTTTAGGTCAGTATAGTTCCTGTTCCTAGAAGAGACAGGCTAGTTAGGCATTCTATATATAGAAGTTGTTTTCTGAGGTTCCATCATCTTTAATACGCAGTGGTTTGGATTATGGTTTTCTGTTCTTTTAAATCTATTAAATCTGTGGGTTAGATTTGCTGAGAACTGCTCTGTTGATGTTAGAACAATGGTGTGGAGCATATCAAAGCAGTAAGTGCTGTCAGAAACCAGAGGACTTTTCAAACCTTTTTAAAAAAAAAAACAACCTGGTTTGGGTCACTTGTAGTTAATTTTTTACTGTTGCTCTTTCTTGTATTCAGTTTTTCTGTTACTGAAACTAATTACCATAATGGCTTAAACACTTAAAATAAGACTGTTTTAAAAGGTTAAAAACTTTTTTTTTTTTTTAATCGTGTGCACAGGGAATGTCCATGTGGACCATCACTGATGCGGTTTGGAGGCAAAGCAAAGGAGTATTCACCAAGAGCCAGAATACGTTCATGGATGGGGTAAGTGGGCAGGAAAGAAGGTCTTCCAGTGAGGTGGGAGGGTGGGGAGATGTGTCTGAAAACATGGTGTAGAATTAATTTTAAGATGTTTCAGAATTGGAATTGTAAGTTATAATTACTGGAAGAGAGAAGTACTAGTGGGGATCTTATGCCAGTGTCTGGATAAATAAATCTTCTTAAATAGGACTTCCACTCCCTCTCCCAGGTTCATAATATCCATTAAAATATCTACATGGTGTGTTATCTGTCTTTCCAGATATGAACTTCCCTTTGACAGACATGACTGGATTGTTGACCGATGTGGAAAAGAAGTGCGATACGTTATTGATTACTATGATGGTGGAGCAGTAGATAAGAACTACCAGTTCACTATCCTGGATGTTCGCCCTGCGTTTGACTCTCTCTCGGCCGTATGGGACAGAATGAAGGTAGCTTGGTGGCGGTGGACTTCATAACTGCTCCTGTGGTGTGCAGTCAAAACGTAAACCACGTTCCTCATAGGCTAAGGATATGTGAATACTAGGACTTAACATAGAAGTTCACTGCAACTGTCACTATTTTCGACATCACCACTGTTCTTTGGGGGTGGGAAGCGAGGATGAGGAAATCCATTGTTAAGTACACCGATGCTTTATGGTGTTTTGAATGAAATATTAAAGTTAGAGTAGCAAAAACACGTATCTTAATTTTCTTAAGAGCTGGGCAATCTTTTCTTGCTGTGTTACCGATTCTGCATAAGCTTGCCTTTTTTCCGTTTCATGTCTCTGGTGCTGCAACAAATACATTAGGTCTCTGATTCTGATTGGAGTTTTGAGTATTACTTAAAAAGTGAAAACTGGAAATTTCATGAACAATTTCACATAGTTACAGTCTTTGGATACGTATCATTTGGACTGTTTCAAACTGCATGTTTTATTTGTTTTCACATGGGCACTTTACCTGTTCAGATACTTGCTTCCTCAGAAAACTTTAGTCATGTTTTTTCTGTTAAAGGAAGTATAGTGTAGTATGAGTATTTTTAAAGGCATGTTAAGTTGAAAAGGAGAATATACTCATGCCTTAATCTGCAATTTGTCTTTGAACAGTAGAACATCTGTTAGAAGCAGGAAATGAGTGTCACTTGTAAAACATTTCTAAAAGGAGATAAAATGGATATTTAATATTTATTTATTTGAGAATTTAAAAGGTTTGCTTTCTGATGTAAGAACTATATTCTTTTAGTATTTTCATGTCTTTAATGTGTGTCTCACCTAATGCATTCAGGACAGAATTAAGCCTTATTAAAGAAACTGTCATGCAGTGCATCTGCATTTTGCATCTTGGCTCTATCATTTATACCATAGCATGCTTTTTTATATAACGCCTAATCGCACAAGGGTGTATGACTACACAGTGATACACATTTCTGCATAGTGATTATTGTGAGCCGTATTACAGATGTATATATAACTTGGCTAAAAGGGTATCAAAAATGCCAAGAAATAAGGTTGATTTGATTGTTTTCTAAGAATGATCAATGTTAATGCTCTGTGGCTTAAAGATTTGATTAATGTTTGTGCTTAATAAGGGAAACTTAACTTTTAAGTCTGCCACTGTAGTAGCTTTAAATTTGCATGGCTTGGTGAATTTCAGGTGCCGCATACCCCTACATTTAAAGTATTCTTCCCTTTCAGCATGTATTACTTCTGAAAATGAGTCCTCCATTTAAAACACTTGGGAATGGGAGGAGTAAAAGAGTATCACACTGTAGCTTCTTAAATGGGAGAAGCTTCCTTCATGAAACTTTATAACCTTAACTGGGAGCCAAGCTGTACATTGATTTTCTGTAAGTGGTTATTTTTAACTGACATTGGAAGCTTTGGAAGGTTGTTTTGTTTTTTTTTTTTTGATTCCTCAGCAGAAAGCCCCTCAGTGTTTGTCGAGTAACGTCCCATTTAGGAAAAAACTATTCAGGGAAGCTTCCATACTTTAAGGTACTAATGGAGATGAATGGGTCCCACTTAAGAGGCAACTGTCCTGTGTGGTAGGAATAAATATTACCCAGAAGTCCAGAGTCCTAAGAGAAAACCACGCTCTTAACCCTATCCACTTTCCTCATTCCTTTTTCACCTTTTTAGTGATTCATATATATATTTAAATGAAAAATAGCTTGGGGCAAAAAAAAGGCAAACCCTCCATCTGAGTAGGCAATGTATATATGAGATGTATGAGAAGTATGTGAACTTGTATGAAGCATATCTGTAATGAAGGAGCTGCTCTTCTCTGTCCTAACAGCAAAGACTGAGGCTTACTGCTTTTTGGGGTGGATTTTTTTGGTTGGTTGGTTTATACATTTGGTAACTTGTTATACGCGGAATTCTGTATTTCTCACAACTAGATATGGAAAAGGTACACCTGTGTAGGGAGTGCTTCAGAGGCTTCAAAAGAACGAGTTTGCTTTGTTGATTTCAGAAGCGTGATGTTGAGTGTGTTATGGAAACTGTAATTGCTGCTAAATCTGGTGAAAGATGTCATATGCCACTTCATGCGTTTACCGTTGTCTTTTATGTTCCATCTTACATAGATTCAGAATTGTTCTTTTCTGTGCTACTGTTAATGAAATGTACTACTTTGTCATGAAACAAAAAGGAGAATCAAATAAATATACTTTTCTTAACTTTGGTATTTGGTGATCACATTTTTAGCTGTAAGAATTATAGTCTGTTCCAACTGATCACATCTTTGAATATATACTACTCATTTATATAGGTGAATACAGAACCAAAAACCAAGGACTAAATTCAAGTGTTTGCCAACCAAACCAGCAGCTCTCAGAATAAGAGCATATGACAACAAATGTATTCATCCTGATTCTGGCTAACTTCTGAGGACAGGAATGCAAGGATTTTTTTTTTTTTTTTTTTTTAAATAATCATTGAAGTGTACATGAATTTATTTCTAAGACTTAAGGAAATAAACCTGGAGTTTTCTCTTTTAGGTTTGGGTTACTTTTTGCATGGTGTTGGCAGTTCACTATTTCTCAGAAGATGGGTGTCAGAGTGATTAGAATTCTAATGTAAATTTGAAAAACAGTGATTTAAATGGATGTTTTTTACCCTTTGGGAGGATGTTTTAAATATAAAACTATTGTTTAGTCTACATTAAAGGTAATGTGTGTGTATGCATAAATAGGTACATTAAATACATTTATATCCTTTCTTTGCAAGTATAGAAAGGTATGGTGAGTTTATGAAGCTCATAAAGTGAAGAAGTATCCTGATAAGGCCCTTCCAGGGAATTCTGCAGCAGCATCAGGTTCCCAGTCCCAGTCAGGCTGAAACAGAAGTTCGGAACCCAGCATCTCAAACCGGGGTAACCTTGTGCACGTGCAAAACGGAAAATGTACACTGTCACTGAAGCAGGGCCACTTTTAAAATCAGTTGTGTATTTAGATGTCTGAAGTTCACCTGTGTTCTGCTTTACCATGTCGAAGCCCTGCTTGACGTATTGCTTTTGACTCCTGCAGTTAAGTCAGGAGAGGTCTCACGATCTGCAGCTGGAGGTGTGTCCTTGAGGGATACTGCAGTGCTCAGAAACCACAATCTCTGTGACTGACGGACGGAAAAGGACTCTGGCGTAATACTCCAGCTGTAACCAGGTCTTGGGTCATGTGTGGTTGAGAGTGGTACCGATCTTTCTTACCTGGAGCAGGAGACCATTCTGCACTCAAATACCTGGTTTTGGCCTCTTGCTGTTGCATTGCTTCAGGCAGGCAGAGACTGCCCTGTGCTAGGGTGCCTGGCACCATGCTCCAGCCTGGAGGGGCACTGAGCACGGGGTGGCTGTGCCTACAGCCCCTGCCTGCTTGGTAACCTTGGCCCAGTTCTCTGCTCTTCCGTGGTATGTCCCGTTAGTATCTGGCCAACGTGAGTGTCCTGTAGTTAGGAAGTAATTCACCAGCTTGTCCTAGGATGCCTGGACTCCCTGGCTGGGTGGAGTCATCCTATGACATTTTGCCCTCGCATTGTACTAGCAGGCAGTTTGGAAAGGGGAGCTGTAGCTCCTCTGTCACCCTTTATTAATTTATTTATTTACCTCTCCCCTAGAAACAATTTTACTCCTATTCATATTATGCTAATGGTCCTAGCTTCAATCTCTCTTAAGAATTTTTCAGCTAAGCTCTAGAACATCTGCCCTACCTCGTAGAAGAATGAAATTGTGTTGCTGGTAAGAAGGTATTTGTGTCCATTATTGATTATTGTTATTTTTTTACTGCCAAAGCAAAGTGTTCTGGATTACCATTTTTGAATTATGATGTGAAAGAGGTATGCTAGTTTAGTGTTAAATGGGACGACAATGCTGTTTAGTGTTTACATAATGTATTTACTATCAGGGCTTCAATGTGTTCTGTAAATAATTATTTAAAGCCTAAATTATGATGATGATGAATATTGTTTGGCCTCTAAAAGGTGTGAAAGTGGCAAACATTCTCTTGGTGCTCTGAAAATCATCATAAATAGTCTGTCATCTTACGCACTCCCATTTTGTTCATTTAACTCTTGTGCCAAAGTGTGGGGGAATAATGGCTAATGTGGCAACGTTTGAAAAGTGAAGGCACGGATACTAAGGTTGTTGTAGCTCAGCAGCTAAAAATGAAGGGAACTGGTAAACTGAGGAGCACTGCCTAATTTTTGGACTCTTACTAATGTTGTGTCTTTTATAGAGGGTAGAAATGCCCCTTTAAAAAACACCGCTCCTTTACTTTTTAAAAAGATCTGTCACTGACATTTAATAAATTAAATGACACTTTAATCCTTTGTCTCCCTCTGCTTATATGTGGAGGAAAATCCATGTACTAAGGTTCCGCAAGCAGCTGTACTTGATGAGGAAGCTGAACTTCTTTTGAGGATTGAATATACTACTCATAATGCTAACTGTGCTTACGTCTTCAGCATGACACCTTTCCCTACCCACAAGTATCTTTACATATATTCATTTTAAAAATACACAGCATTGCTAGTTTTCTACAAATTTTTAGTAGGCAACCTCATGCATTTTTACTCTCACTGAAAGAAAATGTGTTCTATTTATTATTCTATCTTACTTTGTACAAGGTAAATTGCAGGTAAAGTTCTATATGCAGTGAATCAAGTAAGTATTGATTCTGCAGTATTATTAATAATAGGAACCTGTGGTCATACTAGATATGTCATTTTGTAAAAAGCATCCTTTTTAGTTTGCATTAGGTGATTAATCACTTTTATGTGCATCTCCTTCAAGAAAAAATGGCTTGCCAAACTCCAAGAGAAAGAATCTTAAATTCTTCTATAAGTCTGACAGTTGCATCTATTTGGTGTTACTACCTGTACGTCAAATTGTGGGCAGAGTATTAGTCTTGGCTCCAAACCTAAACAGGTGGCCTTGAGCATGTGTGAAATGATGCATTATTTACCGATGAACCACTGGTTCCAATGGCAGCTACGCACAGGACATGTCTGCATATTTGCAGCATAGGTACATATTTTTATGACTGGAGTCCGAATGAATCCAATTTTCAAATCATAATGTAAATTTATTGGAAGTATTGGCATTATTATTAGGCCTCATTAAAAAAATCTAAAAGAATAGTTTTCTTTGCTGATGTTCAGTTTGGACGATGGCCTCTCTTATACAATAAAACCCGTCACATTTGTTTTCAACATATTATGGCAGAAAAACCCCATTAAAGACTAAGTCGTCATTTTTGTTTTCTGATGTTTTGCCAATTCTGTGGTAGCTACAGAAAATTTTAGCTATTTTTCTAACATGTTCTTGCTCTTGCCTCCAGCTTCTGAAGACTGTGACCCCATAAACCTCCTGTCTATAGAGATAGCTAATGCTTTAATTGATCATTAGTAGACTTTCAAAATGAGTTTCCATCTGCTGAAAGATTAAGTGTCTTAGGGAATTGACTTAGAGCGGTTTGATGCATGGAGGATAAATGCAAATGCCTTTAATAAACACTGCTAGACCACAAATCCTTGAAAAACTTGCTTCTAAAATACTGAAAAGTAATAAAAAATATTTTTCCTCTGGTTTGTTTGTTCTCAAATTAGGGAAGGCTTTTTTTTATATATCAGAATTCATTAGCTCATTTTCAGAAAGTAAGGAGCAAAACCTCATGAAAATGTTGAGTTTAACCTTAGAACAAACCATGCAAATTTTGGCAGCTTTAATTCACAACATAAATTTTTGGTTAAATTAATTTATTCCAACTTTTAAAAACACTCACTTTGGGCCAAAATAAATGATGAAAACTTTTCTACTAGCTGTGCTTGAGAATACTGAGGAAAAACATCTCCATGTTTTAACACAATTTTTCACAATTACAGGGGTTGCTTCTCCTGTTTTCTTTAAACTTTTGCCTTTTAGCTTATTTGGAGTGATTTTTACAGGTTTTCATGTGTCTTTCTCTCTGCCATTTTTGTACAAACCACTTTTGGGAAAACTTCTACCCTTGTGATAACACTTATACTACAGAAATAATGGCTTCTTTCTTAGGTACCTGAAAAATCAGTGCTATTTAAGTCAGTTAAGAACAGTTCTAGCCCATAAGCCATTCTGGCTGCATTAGAGCTGTCAACATTGTTGTAGCAGAAAATATAGGAACTGCAGCTGTCCTACAGCACTGCCGAAAGATGGACATGATTTGTGTTGCATAGGTTAGTCATCAGACTTAGCTGTGGTTATGGGTTCCTTGTTAGTGTTTGTCTTGTGACCCCAAAATGGGTAACAGCAGTGATTTTTAGACTCTTGCAGGTGCTCCTTTAATGCCTTCTAGAGTACCTGCTTTTAGGACTGCTTACCATTGCAGTAGCTGGGACGGCAGGGTGGCTGGCATGGAAATGACAGTAAAAAGATGTAGATGGATATTATAAATTGACTTTTTTTTTTTTTTTTTTTTTTAATGTCTACTCCTCTTATTCACCACTCAGGTTAGGGGAAAGCAAGTCTAAATGAACAGTTTTATATATAAACACTGGTGGTTGTTGATGCAACAACTAATTGATTTGGGCCATAATTAGTGAGTGGAAAGTAAAGGATACTACTTTTTGCAAATAACACTGGGAAGATTAATCTTACCTATGTATGAAAGGCAGCATTCTCTTTGCCTTTTCAGGCAAAGTGGCAAATACTGGTATCATCAATGGCATATCGACTTATGACAGAATGCTGGAGATGGTTTAATATAGACTGACTAAAAAGCAAGATTTTTTTTGATTTTTCTTTGCCACATGTTTATGGGAAAGTATCCATTTAGAGAAATGAATATGGCTAATGTTATCCTATCAAACACCACAATGTTTGAAGAAATCATAAAAAAAAAAAAAAAGGAAAAATAAGATCTTTACTTCCAATTTAATAATAATGGAATATGAAGGCCAGATTGTCATTGTAGAAGTTCATTTCAAATTTAAATATTTAGCATTTTCACTAGTCTGTGAATACAAGAAAATTTATTACATTAAGATGGAATTTAGATCTTTGACATGAAGCTGATATTTTCACAGTGTGAAAAATATCAAGCTGACATTATACTGTCTCATTTGATGACTTCCAAATGTCAGAGTGCAGTAACTTATTCATAGGGACCTCAATGTCTTGTGATAGTGTCAATTTAAAAGACATTTACATGGACTTTTTTATTTAAACATGTAAAATGGAATATGCAAAGTGGATGAGGAGAAGGGGGAAAGACCAGGGGCAAGAAAGTTCTTAATAATAGAATGAGGCACTTTTAAGGCTAATTTCCACCGAAGCCTTCTGACAGCTGCATGGACTACTACCTGGCAGTACTTCTGACAGCTCCCGTCTTCTTTATTTCGCTTCCCATTATTTCCCTCATTCCCAGCTCAGCACTCTCAATTTTCTTGTTACTTCAACAGAATTTAGGGGATTAAAAATAGCATCATATACTTTCCTGAAAAAGTAAACCACCCATCCCTTGCCTTTAGAATTGATTTTATAATAATGGAAGATACTGATTTTTTTTTTGTTTTGAGGTGATTACACCTGTGAGTTAATGATACCATTGGCTGTAGACAACCGGGATCAGGTGGCTGTTAACGTGATTATGAAGCCACAATAGTTGAATACAAGCAGTATAGATTCATATTCCAGTAAAACTTCCTGTATGAGTGTGTGGCTGTGCTTCAAGTAATTGTCTATACCGCGATGGCGACCGGGTCATTCCTTTCTGTGGGCCAGCGATGGCCACGGAAGGTTGCCCACCCCGGCGCAGGGTGAGCAGGCCGCGCCGACCGCGTTCACGGGCGGCCATTTTGTTTTGCGCCGGGGGAGCGAGGCTCCCGCCGCTGGTGCTGCCCCTCGCCGCTCGCTGTCTCGGAGGCTGCCGGGCGGCTCGTCGCCGCGCCCGCCCGAGCCGAGTCGAACCGAGGGGCAGCGCCGGGCGAAGCCGCCGGAGGGGGGGTCCCGCCGCCAGGGGCGCCGTCCCTCGGGCGCGGGACGGGGGCGCGGCCCCGCCGCCGGCAGGGGGCGCCGCCGCGCCCTCCGGCCCGCGCCCTCAGCCGCGGCCATGTCGGAGCTGGCGCTGGAGGAGCTCTCGGCTCTCGCTGCCATCTACTCCGAGCCGGACGCCTGCGAGGTGCTGGCGGTTTCAGGTGAAGGCGCCCGCGCTCCTTTGCCGAGAGCCGCCGGTCTTCCCGCTCGGCAGCGTCTCCCCGCGCTGCCCAAACGAGACCCCGCGCGGCGGCGCCTCAGCCGGGGACCCTCTCGCTGCCCCGGCCCGGCCCGACCCCGGGAGGAGGCGCTTCGGGCCCTCGCGCTGCGGGGGCTCTGCCCAGCGGGGCAGCACCGCCTTAATCGCTTGATACTAGCGACAAAGATGGGCACCCTCTCCCCTGTCCTGCCGTGCGGCTTTGCTGCCGGCCTCTTAGTAGGGGGCAAATCCTAGCGGGTGCTGCTCGTTTATAATTAGCGACTTGCTTCATTCCAGCCGTTTGCAGGGTGTGCAGAACCTTGTGGTAGGCGAAGGGCAGCAGTGGGAAGGGGCTGGCTGCTGTTTGGGTAAATAAGCAGTTGCATCTCATACACGTAACAAGACCATGTATTTATTCTGTAATATTTAATAGGGGTGCAGCTGCTGCTGTGCATGAGAAGCCTTGGGTCATCTCAGTCTTTTTCAAGGGGTAGGATTGGGCTTTATGATGTGCTGAATGTTCTCCAGCTTCAGCAACATGTCTATGGCTGTAGGTTTTGCAGGGTACTAACGCTAATCTCTTATGTTTGCTGCGGGTAGGAAGGTGAGAAGGTTTGTAGTGCTTGCTCCCGTCAGCTGCTGGATGCTGTAGACTAGGAATGCAGTTAAGCGTAGACACCTTTACTCCCCATTTTCTGCACGAGCCACGGTGGCCACTGATTAGAACATAATTTTAAGAGATGATTTTCATCAGTCTGTACCATCACAGTGCTGTGAAGATGCCCCTTCAGCAAGGGAGGAACACTTACTGTTCCCTGGTGTCTTGGGAGCTATTGCAGCATGCTGCCCAGCTTCCCAGCGATGAGCATCCCTGGGAGCAATGGACAGTAGGCAGCTTCCTGCTGGCTGGACTGTTGTAAAGTGCTGAATAATGCTGTTAAAAATGCATCCAGTGGCCTGCTATCAGGTTTTGTTTGTGTATGTATGCAGCCCAAAAGAACTGGGATTGATAAGGAGATGTTTTTTTACTGTGAGGGTGACTGAGCACTGGAACAGGTTGCCCAGAGAGGTTGTGGAGTCTCCAGCTTTGGAGATACTCAAAAGCCATCTGGACGTTGCCCAGGGCAGCCTGCTCTAGGTGACCCTGCTTGAGTGGACAGATGACCTCCAGAGGTCCCTGCCAACCTCAAACATTCTGTGAAAATAACTTTGTGCTACTTTGTGAAATTACATGTGGCTGCTTTTGAGTGACTCACTTTAACTAAAATGTTACTAAGAAATTAATTGAATAAACCTTAAACTTCTATTTGAAAACAGTTGTTGAAATAGATTCACATAGAACAGCAAGTGGTTATTGGAAAAGAGGACTTTGTGTGTAGGCAGTCTCAGAGGAATGAAGACATTAGTGTTTGCATGGAGCACAATTAACTGGGGTAATATAAAAGCAGAAATGTTTTGTGTCTAGATCTGCTCATACCTCTTGCTCCAGTGTAGGGAGGTAATTCTGCCATTTTATGTTGGTATTTAGAATTGTATCTTAAAATATGATTGATGAAATGTTTCGACTGAGTTTTATTTTCTTAAAGTTAAAAGGTTCAGGAATGTTATTTCAGGCATAGTTTAAAAATACAGTATCTAGTCTTAACAGATACTTATTTTAAAAAATGTGAACTTATCTGAACATTGCATATGCACGTCTGTTCCTCCAAATCTGTTAGAGAGATGTACGCACATCCTTCTCTGTGCTTCATATACAGAAGAATGATTTTGTGTTTATAAGTTACCAGGATGTAAAAGGCTTAGAAACCTTCCTAGAGCATAAAGTGCCACATGTGCACAAGGGGAATAGACATATTTATATTGATGTCATGTGACCTTGCAGGGCCTTTAGCCAGGCTGTTGTTTGTGTTGTGTTAGGATCATGCATATCTGGTTGATTTCAGTCATTTTCTGCTGGAATTGAAAAGATTATTTACAACAAAGATTAGTGGTAGTTTTCTTACTTTGGGAATTTACTTCTCTTTCATGTTGGAGTTACAGAATCCTTGAGTTTGTATACAATTAACTTTTGCTGTATTCATTAGCTTAGGTTTGCTTTATATCTTCAAACCATATAAATTGTCATTGACAAACAGTGCACAGAAGTAACTTCCAGTAAGACTGTTATGTTACGCTATCTCTAATACATTAAGAGTAATTTGCGTGTAGATCCACGGGATCAAAAAGGAGGCCACTGGGGATTTATGGTTTTGAGGAATGTAAGAAAATGCTTTTGCAGCTCTCTTGGTATGCTAAAAACTTTGGCTTTCTGGAATTTAACAACGAAGTATTCAGAATGTAAAATATGTTTTTATCAAAACCAATGTGTTGATGAATTTAAATAAACTAATTACAGCATATCTCTTTTTTACCTTACATATCTATTTACGAAGATTAGCGTTACAGATAGAAATCCATAATTTTCTTGTTAATCTGTTCTCTTATGGTTTGCTCACCGAGATTGCTATAAAAATATATTTATATATTCTAAGCTTGTACGTTAGTAGGTGCCATTTTCTGAATTTAAAAATAGACTGCATGTGCTGCATAAAATGCCTTTGGGCAGGAGAGGAGGGGGATATCTGTCTGGTTGACATGGAACATAAGAAAAAATCTGAAGTATGCTAGGGCTAAATGCCTAAATGGGGGAAAATGAGTTAAAATGTATTGAGTTTAGTCTTATTAGCACATTAAATGCCAGTAGAACGGTCATACCCAAGCTTTTATTTCAGAAATAATCCCCATTTTGCTGTGAAGACAACTCAGACCTTGTAGCGTGTGCAAACAAAGGAAATATTTCTTTAGAGCCTTGTTATGCAGGGCAACAGTGATTTGCTCTTTGTTCTGCCAGCCGTCTGCAGCGCTGGTGCAGAAAATGGATGCTGGAATGTTTAAATAAACTTTAGATGCTGTAGCTCCACAAATGTTTTGAACTGATTCTCCTGTTTAAAAATAAGTCTGAAGCAGATGTAAATGAGCACGGCTGGGCTTTTCGTGATGGCTCAGGGTGATACACCTTGGGATGCGATGCTTCCTTTGGATTAGTTCATCATCACAGGGAAAGGTGTGAGATTGTTGCAGGCTTAAGAATATGATCACTGCAGCAGGAGGCCCTTGCCGAAGGGGCTAGGTTGGCCTGTCTGTTTATCCCTCAGTTACTTCTGAGTTGGTGAGATCTGTTATGACAAGCTAGTGAAAAAATCCTATGAGGATTATCAGAAAGGTAACATGTTTTTCTGTCACTGTAATTAAACTGGCAATAGAACAGTATTCTTCAACTCATTTATAGGCTGTGCATTATAAAATTTCTTGGCAACATAGTTTAAAATGAAGTGATTTACGGACAGGAATACAATAATGTTAATACAGTTCAACCAGATGCAGCTTGCTTTCAGCTGGCTGGTACCTGCTGGGGCTGCCCACTGAAAGTGGCAGCTGGAAGGAGGTGGGTTGGCAGGCCCTGTCGGTGTGCGGTGTGATGCTCAGGTGTGTGTGAAGACCCTCTCTGGTGGCCAAGAGGGTGCTGGGGGTCCCAGGAGATGCAGTGCAGGCTCTTCTTGTGCATGTGGTTACGTGTGCTGAGCCTAGAGTAACAGCAGAGGAGCTATCATTGCTGGTGCCCAGTAAGAAATGTTTGTCAGGGCAGCAGAAGCCAGAGGTTGGAATGGGAAGGCTTGAGGTCCTCCTGTGTAGCTCTTGCCAGTGAGCGAAGGCTGCATGCTGCCAGGTGGACGCTGTGGCGACTGGAGTCTCTTCCAAGGGTGATGAGTTTCCGAGGAATAAGCCTGCCTTAAAAATAGTCTGGAACTTTTCATAGGGTCTTGGAAGGCTGGAGACCAACTCCTGTTGTCAGGGAATGAGGCTTTGACACATAGTGCCTGTAAGTATGGGCATGCTTGAGTGTGATTTCATTTAATTCACTGGATTTGCATCTACTACTTTCAGCAGTGGATTTGACTCTGTTTAGGCAGTGATGGTTTGTAGCTGTTTGGAGACTTCTTAATGCTAGAGTTTGATTATTGGGTTTGGAGGGTTTGCTTATTTTATGCTGTGACTGCTCTGACCTGGAGTTCTTTGTATGACCCAGGAAGGAGGTTTGGAAACAAGCCTTTGGCTAAGCTCTCTAAACTGCTTCTGTCTGTCCAAGTCACTTTTAGGTTCTTTCACTCATTTAGTAGGGTTCAAATATAAAATCAGAAAGAGCATTGAGGTTGGTTAGCAGCGTCAGCAATACTAATCAAACATAATTCAAATGACTGTCATGTAAAGGAAGGTAAGATAAGGTAGGGGGAGAAGATGGCAAGTCACTTCAAAAGAGCTCCTCTGAAACTCAGCTCTGCTCTAATCTGCCTTTCAAATCTGGCTTCTGCTGCCCTCATAGAATGAATCAACCTGACATTTTAGCAATTTTTTAAAGAAAAGGGGTGAAGTGTTTAGAATGCCTCAAAGGTGTGAAGCAGAGAACATCTGAAGAGGATCATCTTTTATCTGATACCCTCTTTCTTCATGGCAGAGGAGCAAAAGTAGGTTAGGGCTTTGTCCGTGCTTTTCACTTTATGAAGTTCTGTATTGTTTTTTTTTGTGAAACATGTTTTAGTCAAGAAGGTTTTATTGCAGGAATTACTGTACATAACTTTCATATTTAGCATCTTTGATGTGATTTATCTGGAGGATGTAGTCTTTTGTCCTTCCTTCTACATACTGGATGTATCCTTTTCACTCTGAAAATAATTTTATTCTGAAGTAGACCAACAACAGGTTTTGAGTAGATATGTAGATATATATACATACATTTATATAAGTATATGCATATATATATATGTATGTATGTAGTATCTAGCGTCAGATGTACAACAGAGATGTTTTCATTATGTCAGTCCAACTGTTGTAAATGTAGAGAAGTTGGCAGAAAAGAATTAAGCATATTTTCTCTGAAAGCTGTCGAGGACAAAGAATCTGACTTTTTTCTTTCCAAGTCTCTCTTCAGTGTGGAACTCTTTTGAATGGTTGTCTTAAAAATTACTCACTACAAGTCTATTTGTCTTGTAGTGGTCTTACAGACTTCTCTAGGAGCAAAGTTAGGACAGTGTTGAGTCCATCCAGAAAAGTCTCTATTTTCGGTTGTTGTTGCTGCTGCTATTGAGCAGTAGAAGCTGACTTGCATGTTTCTAAGAGGCACAGTTCTTTGTTACTGGCTTGTCTAGACTTTGAAAGAGCCAAAAGGTGTGAATTCTTTTTAGAATGTGTTAATAACTTTCCTTCTAGTATGATATGGAAGTGTTTCATTTCAGGATTCCCTGCAAGTATAGCTTGAGCCATTGGTTGCAACCCCCTGCCCCGCAAAAAACCTCACACCCCTCATTTTTCATAGAATTGCAGTCATTTGGGTTGAATTGTTAAAGAAAATAACATGCCTTAATAAGGTATATGTATTTCAACTTAAAGCAAACTATTAATGTTTGTTTTTTCATACTTTTCAGAGACACATGGAATCACGTTTAGAATTCAAATCAGCATGAAAGAACTGCTGGATACAGATGTAGTTTTAAAGCTGTTATTTCATTTACCGGTCAATTATCCATCAACTCTACCAGATATTTCTGTTAACTCAGACCAGCTTACAAGGGCCCAATGTATGGATGTGAAAGATAAATTACTTGAACAAGCAAAGAAGCATCTTTCTGAACCCATGGTACACGACCTGATTCTTTGGATACAGCAGCATCTTAAATATGTCATTAAGGAATCAGCAACAGTTTGCAATGAAAAAACTACTTTGTCAAAAGGAACAAGTACAGAGGATGGTATCTGGATGCTCTTTTTGCATTTAGATCACATGAGAGCAAAGGCAAAATACGTCAAAACTGTGGAAAAATGGGCTTCAGATCTAAGGCTGACTGGAAGACTGATGTTCATGGGCAAGATAATATTGATTCTTCTTCAGGGTGACAGGAGCAACATTAAGGTGCAGGAACAATGAATGTTGACTAGTTCTATCGATTTACCACTGAAACCTATGTGTCTGAATATTTTGTGTGTGTTTTTCTAAGATTAACAATTTTGGAAGCAGATTGATCATTAGGACAGTAGGAAGGCCCGACAACTTTATTCCGTATTTAAGAAAAAGAAGGTATTCTATCAGAAAGAACCCAGTGATACCCATGGCCTGTATTGCTTTGCTTCCCACTGTAATTATACCCCTGCATTCCCTGTGTTTCCCGACTGTAATATGCCTAGGTTCAATCTCCTGAATTTCCCAAATGCCCCAGAAAACAGAAAATTAGTGATGAGAAATAAATAACAGACATATTTCTAGCTCATTAGTGTCTCTTTCCTTGACACAGAGCACATGGTGCTCCTAGCGCATGCCTGGGCTTTGAACTTCTTGTCTGTACTTATGGGCTCCCACTGCATTAGGCAGGTTTTTGTGATGATACCGGAGGAGAATGTTTTGGCTTTTCAAACTCATGTTCTCTAGATCACTTAAGACTGTGCTTCACTTTAAGCTGATGAAAAAAACAGTCATGCACATTTTGGGATGGGCACTTTCAAAGTTTGATTGCTATGTTCTGAAAAAAATCTGCATGTTTCGTATAGCTTTTTACATTTTACTAAACTTCAAAGATACTAGGTGACATTTAATATTTTGTTCTTTTTGTCATTTAGGAGTACTTGATTCTTCAGAAAACTTCTAAGGTAGACGTGGACTCAAGCGGAAAGAAATGCAGAGAGAAAATGATTAGTGTACTGTGTGAGACAAAAGTACAGTCACAGCATAAAAGGTATAATTTAGTACTGCTGTGGATAGAAAAGTAACAATCGATAATTACATTCTGACAAATCTAGGCATATTCATGAGTTTCCCTTTTACAATGTAGGTTTCAGACGTTTGAAGTCAAAGAATATTCAACACTGGATGAGCTACAAAAGGAATTTGAAACTGCAGGACTTGCAACTCTTTTCTCTGAGTGTGTGCCTCCTCTCTTAAAGTAAAATTAAAAGAAAACACTGGACTCTTTCACCAAAGCAGTGGTTGACTGCAGATGTTGATGGAAGATAAAAGGACTAATTTGTCAAACAAAGATTTTTTGCAAAAAATGCCAGGAGTAGCTATCTTCTTGCAAGGAGGAGAAGGCAATTCGTGCATTAAGAATTGTTATTTTTTTGACATTTATGTATTGATAACTTTTTCCAAGGAATATGGAGTTAATTGTGATAATTGCTTGGCAAGCATGAGTGATTTGGAGGAACTCATGTTCAAATAATAGTCTTCTAGTTAGACTCTACTTTGCAATCCCTGTTTTTCAATGTTTTGATTTTTATCTCCCATGGTAGTGTTTTTTCATAATGGCCTGCTAGAAAGCATGATTAATTTTGCTTTGAAAGCTTATATGAAGATATTTCTATAAAAAGCATAGCAAACACAGATTTGAATATGTGAGGACAGCATATACTTAATATCCCTTAAGTGTTTGCTAACTTTTTCTTCTCCATTTATTTGACTATAAATGCTAGACTGTTGATTTAAAGAAAAAGCTCATGTCACTTGGGGCCTGAAAAAACTTAGAAGTGTCTTTTTGAATGTTAGTTTTTATTCTAAAATGAATTTAAATAGATTAAAAAGCTAAGGTAAAGCCAATTGTAATATTTTCTTTGATAGTTTACAGATTCCTTTCTTCACTTTCTGTGGTTTTACTGTCTGTGCATCTTTAGATATCTTGATTCAATTAAACTGTCAGAACAGTATATATAAAGACTTCAGTCTTCTGTCTCTCAAGACTTCTGTCAAGTTCTTCTGTCATTTGCAAAGCTGGTAAGTTATAACTCCCTATTAAAATTTCCCTACCTTTTAGCATTTTTTTTGGATTGGTCAGTGGCCTTGTCCAGTTTATAAATTTTTTTAAATCACTAGTCTGTGTTTTACTTCAGTATAATGTTACAAATTATATATGCTGTTTTGACAAATTAAGTTGTGTAAGTTCTGTTTGCCTAGGGAGAATTGGATACTTATTTTTTATAATTATTAATGTTCTTTGTTTTTTATTGTACTTGATACCATTCTCTAGCAAGACTAGATAAATTGTCCAGTAGTAAAAATTTTGAAGTCATAAGTTTCTCAGTAACTAGCAATTCCATTTCGATTAGTTTTAGCATGTAACGAAACATGTGCTTTACTGCTCTCTAAAACTCACTCCCAGAAGCCAAATGTCTCATGTATTCTTTGTTAACTGAACAGATTTGATCAATTCAGTATAAATTTATCTCTATTGTACTGGGGTAGGACTGGTACAATTTGGTTAGTTCCCATAGCGTGGTCTGACAAATCATTATGTAAGACATTTTGATTTCCAGTTTCATACTCAGAGCGTGAGATCATACCTCTTTCTTTATGCATACTAGAAAGGCAACTAAAGCAAACTGTTAAGATTTTTAGGTTTTACTATTTGAGATATCAAATGCATAAAGGGTTGTAGAGTATTTGACAGTTTCTTAAGTTTTTGAGTTTGGTAATTTTCCTAATGTGGAGTGTCTCAGATACATATGTTGCATGTTATTTTATGCACCAGGGCTTATTTAACAAGACAGTAGCAAAAGGTCTTCTTAATGAGTCTTTCATGTGTAGCACATACAGTACTTCAGATGCAGTAGAAAACAGACTGGGTTAAACAGGTTTTACAAATCTGTTCTATGTTATTTTGAAATGGCTTCCTGAGAGAGAGGAAATATAATTTTCTATCATTTTAGGTGCATGCAGAGGTGAATTTTTACTTTTATAGGAAGAATAAAACAGAAGTATCTTTAAAATATTAAAATAACATGTAATTTAAATTATAGTTTTCAAAATGGAGTTATTCTCAGTTAAAGTTATGCTGAAGAAGTGTGTGTCAGTGGAGTATAGAGTCTTTAAAAGATGCAGAGGCTCTCTCTTTATACTGTATGATAGATCTGGCAAGTATCAAAACCAAGAAAAGGCCTGTACATGTACAGCATAAGAAAATGTTATCAGTATCTCCCTGCAAATCTAAATGTTGTAAGTTTGTGCCAGATGGATTCTATGTCCTCAGCCAGATCTTTAAAATGCTCCACTTTTCTGGAAGGAGAATAGTAAGGTACGTCAGCACAACCTGTATCACAATCTTGGCCATTAAGGTCTAGCCAGGGCCTTATCCAACATGCATATAAATCAGCTGTATATGCTTTCTGTTGGTTTTGGGAATTGGATTGAATAGCATACCTAATCATGTGATCTCAGATTGTATGTGACTGGAAAAATAACTGAGGTGTACAGTTGTTGTGGTCATCTTTCTTGCAAGATTAGATGCAGACTCTCTAACTTTTTCTTTCCTACTATAAAAGCTACTGTAATTAGCTGCATAAGAAATGCCATTTGTACGGTCAGTGGTTGTCAGTTGTGCTTGGATATAAACTCACATATTTTCTTGAAAATTACTGCCTGATGCCTTCTTGGTTAACTATTTGGTCAGAGCTATCATTCTGCAACAGCCAATTAAAAAAAGCAAAAAAGTTTAAGAGCAAATTAAAATTGGATGAGCTGCAGCTCTCTTCTGGTCTGTGCTCATCTTGCCAAATAAAGATATAAGAAGCTATATGGTATCTGTATTTCAGGGATTGTAAAAAGCAGTTTATACAATCAATTTTTATCATGGTTGAATTTGTTACTCACTAACTTACATTGGACAAATCAACAAGTCCAGTGTAGGAAAGGACTGCAGTTTTTTTTACTTGGATTGATGTACTTCAGGAGAATTACAAATATGATCAGCTTGATACTGTTCAGGCAGCAGAGAACATGAAAACTGATGTCAGTCTGATTCTGTCAAAGCAAATGCTTTTGCCTACCCATCAATCAGTCATTTATTTTGAAGGGTAGGAGGATATCTTGTGTTCAGACAAGTAAACAATATTTTTAAAGGTTGTTCTTTTGGAAAGATGTTGCAGCTGTCTGTTAACTGATGGTTTATTTGCATTTATTTTAAAAAGAGATGGGCAAGCCTGTGAGCCCATGGGGCACAAAAGTCATCAAAATGCATACTGTGGTGCATATTCTGCCCTCCAAGGGAACTGAAGCAGACACAGAAGAACAAAATGCAGGGAAACAAAGTCAAAACTCCTGAGAATCATTAAGGAATGCATATCAGTGTCTAAAAAGTTAGTGAAGTGTATATAGCTATCAGAATCAGACAATTGAATTGCAAGGAAAAAGAAATCCACACAGAAAAATGGTTTAACGAATAAGAAGCTAGCTTTCTTGTGGATGTTTTATTATAAATAGTTCTTCAAACAGCATGGTTAATAAAGTCTCATTTCCGGTGGAATTTCTTGTTTCTAAACAATTGCACACATAAAGCCTTTATTGCAGAAGAGTCATTAATGATGGCGCTTTCCCAGGTGGGTTCCCCAGTGCCTGATATTGATTGTGCTCTCTGCATAAATCATTAAAATATCAATAGCATTTTTCTTCTCTGCTATCTCTTTTAATCAAAGTCGTAGGAACTTGATTTCTTTCAGGCTGTTAACCTCTCATTTAATTGAAATGAGTTGAATTCAAAAGTTCTAGAAGAATTCGGTAGTATAAATACACATGCTTCCGTATAGACAGCACAGCTGCATAACTGTAGTTTCCTTTGAAAATCAGGCTAAAGTGAAGGCTGCTGCAGTAGGGCTGACTACTTGAAGAATCAGGTTTTTAGGACAAAACTGAGGTTTGACTGGTCTTTTTGAATCCCTTGGCTTATTAATTGTGAAGACGACAAAAAGAATGGCTTAAGAAGGAAAGGAAAATACATAGAAATAGGAGCAAAACCCCAACTCCAATGTCCGCCCTATGTGAACAGTCGTTTTTACATTAATACATCGCATCCACAGCATCCGTTCTAATCCTGAAGAGACGTGCTCGATCCGCAGAAGGGTGTGCTAAACCACAGTTGAATGGATGCCTTGGGTGGGCATCCTTCACTCTCTAGAAGAGATGGCACTGCCTGTGTCAGGCAGGTTTGTTGGTGAACAGCACACGTTCACTTTTTCTGCCTCTCATATAATCCATGAGTGTCATATGTCTGCATTTGCTGTGATATGAGGAGAAGGTTGGTCTGGTCATCTGAGGAGCACTTCTCTCCCATTACCCTTTGTGCAGCAAGTGTAAACTGAAGTAACGAGAAGGGCAACACGTGATCCAGATAATTTTTACTATGACATGTAATGTTAGGTCTTGCTACATATGTATTCTGTTACTACGGTAGAGTAGTGATGTCTGTGGAAACAAGGTCATCAAAGTGCTAACAGATAAAATTACTCAATTCTGCAAGAAATCAATCTTTCTACAGTTTTGTTTCTTAGACTCGTTACTGACCTGCCATTGTGACCAAGGTCTGTGGATAAAACCACCTCTGTCTTGGTAGAGGGAGCAGAAAGAATAAAATTCCCTTATTTTCTGTATTAATCTTTCAAGGCATTATTTATAGCATTAATATGTACTATTTATATTTAAGGCTTTTATTATTGTCTCTTGAAAAGAAACCTTTATGAGCGGCACATACTGTGAACTAGCCTACTGTTCAGAATAGCATGGCTTCAGGGGAAGGAATGCGAAGTTCCAGAGGAGGGAAATACTTTTAATGGGGGACATCGTCAGTATTGGGAATTCACCAGCTTTTTTTACTTACTCAGTCTCATTAAGATTGTAATTCTTGCACGCTGCCTGCCCCCAATTTGTTATTTGTTGTTACAAGGAGGTTGAGACACTATAAGAACTCATGAAAATCCTTGACATAATCAATTAAAAAAAAATTGAAAGTAGATTTGATTGTTTTGTGAATAAGGCTAATTTTTTTGGTTTTGTAGTTCTATCTCATTTTCCTATAATAAGACTGTCTCTTATTTCTGTGTGAATGGCCCACAAAACCCACTGAGATTAGTATAAATTATATGCAGCAGTACTGTAATGAGCTTAAAGAAACTTCATAGTGGAAAAATGTTTTGTTTACATTGTTTCTTTTAAAAATAGTTTAATAAACCCTACATATGGATGATTTAAAATCTAGTGTCCCTTGATTTGTTCAGCTTAATCTGTGAAAATACAAACATAATCATGCTATAGCTCCTTTGAAATAAGATGATGGAATGTTGCAAACACTGTATTTCTGCCAAAGTTTGAGACTGAAATTGCTTATATTATGAAATAGTGCAATTGCTGGAATCAACTTTCTTATAGTAGCATTAAGCATTATCATCCTGTCTCTTTATGCATAACACATGCAACACTGGCAGCACTCTGTTCTGGTTTTATATTTCATATGTATACTTAATTTTATGTTATCTTATGCAAGAGTTATGATTGTATGCTTAATTATAGACATAAATGGAACTTGAAATGTAAATATACTAATAGCATTTTGTAGTTATTGTTCTGTGCTATTTTCATAGATTGGCTTTTATATCAATATTAGTTCATGTTTTCCAGCCTCCAAGTATTAGCCTGCAGTGAAGAGAACTCTTCAGAGTGACGGAAAAATTTGCCTAAAACACAGTTAATTTAAGAAATTCTTTGGGCTCTAAAAATGATTCCCTTAATATTTTCAGGTAATTATGCATTCAGGTGCTTTAATTTTATGCTAATAAGGTAACAACCATTACACTTTTGATTTTCTTTGTATTTCCCAATGTAATATAAGTAACCCATTTGTATCGTGCATTAGAACATAGCTGATCATGTAATTGGGGTCAATATTTTATGAGTATTTCCCATTATAAATAAATATGATTCACTGTATGTATGCATTGTTATCTGTTATAACTTGAATGCAAAGAGTCATTTTAGGATGAAACTTGATACAAAAGTTTGTCTGCAGGGGAACAATTAACTCCACTTTGTGCTGCTTTTCCTATTGTCACCTTTTACATTCCTGCAAATAAGAAATGAAGACTGATATCTATGGGAAGCAGTCAAATGATCAGTTTTCTTAAGCTGAATTTAGCAGGCCAACTCACTGTGCTACACTAGATCTTGATAGCTGCTGGTTGGAGGCCGGGTACTCCCTAGGCCTTTATGGGACCGCTTTTGGCAACATCTAACTGCTCCACTGAAGCAGTTAGATGGATGTTTCTTGAACTTAATGTAGAGAATTGAGGGAGCTAATTTCACCTGTGCAGACAACGAATGGTTGACTGCCGTTTGATCGGAGCTTTATATCAGGAGCGCAGCCTGGTACTCCTTTTATGTTGGTGCCACAGGGGCTAATAACCTAAAGTTTACACTTGCACTAGTCACAGAGAAGGCAGCAGAGCAAAATCCATGCCGTGATTTTAAGACTGAAGGTGCTAAAATCAGTGTACCTTTACCATTCTTGGGATGCACTTAGGGAAAAAAGAGCACAAAATGATTTTGTTGGTCTCTGATCAATCACTAATCTGTAGTAGTATACAGAGGCAGGGTACATTTTTATAGGAGTTGATGTTATGAGTACCCTTCAGTCAAGATAATAAAAAAGCAGTTATTTTTTAAAGTAAAATAACTGAGTTATTTGTGAGAACACTGTCCATGTGAGACGCTGAACAGAAGCTGAGCTGTATGGATAGAGCTATGCCAGAGGCTGATTTTTATTTGGTAGAAGTGGAGGTGCTAGAAAGGAACAGACGGCAATAAAAACACTGGTGATGTGGCTCTCAGGGAAGCCAAAAGGAAAGGTTTTTTTGGATTGATTATCCTCTGGAAAGAGGTTTGGGAATATGAGCAAAGAAATTGCTCCTGTATCCAAGCTTCAAGCAGAAATGCCAGAAATAAATACGCAGCTTCATTGTAATTTTCTCTTTTTAGCAGAAACGGCATGTAGTACCAAGAACAAGCGATGGAAGTTTTCACGGGTATAGAGATGACTAACCTCACTCAAGAGCTGTAGGCTGTCTGCAAAGGAATTAGAGCAATTCCTAGAAATTTTCCTCAAATGACCTGGGGACGACAGAGGCTTTTTTCAGGCAGTAACTTCCAAAAGTCTCATAAGACTGGGAAACCAGGCTGTCATACCTCCGGGTGGTTGGGAAGATTGGTAGAAGAGGTGACCAGGAGCTCCCAGGAGCAGATTATCTGCACAATATGGGCGTTCTGGAAAGCAAGGACTAAGAGGGTTGACAAATCACTTTTGGATGAAAAAAGTCCACTTATGTGTGGAATCAGAGAACACAGGTAAGTGTTAAATTTTTGTGAGACTTTTTCTGCATTGTTATTACAGAGACATGGTGTGGAGATGTGAGGTGGTCCTTGCTCAGGTAGTGCATGGTGTCTTGGGGAGGTTGATGTATTTCCGATTCACATCATTTACAAAGATCATTCTGGTTGATAATGGTGGTCAGTGGTGTTTAAGAATTAAGACTTAAGTGCTGCAAACCTATTCTGAGACAGGGATTTTCTGTGGGATTAGGAGCCATCCTTTAAGCATGGGTTAGACAAGGCACATCTAATAAGAGCCAAAATGAGAGGGAAAGAAAATACTCCACAGGAATGCCTGCAAGAGTTCCAGAAAACCGTGTTTCTGAGGTAGTGGTATGGCAAGGGGGGACTTCAGGGTTACCTTTGCATAGACAAGGAGCCAAATGCTAGAAACTCAGCTGGGTGTGAGGGTGTCAATCAGAGTTTTTGGTCTGTAGGGTACCTGGAGAGTGCCTGGAACTTAGTACAGAGCATGTGCCTTTCCTGCCAGCCAAGCACCAGATTATTTTATTTAAAGGCAGCTGCAGAAAGGGAGCTGGAAGCTGCTTGCTATGAATTTTATTATTTACTTCATACAATACTAATTAATAAAAGATGCTACAGGTTTCCCTCAGACTAATTTTGAAGAATCGGGGGAATGCTTTTTAAAACAAATAAAGGAACAGTGATAAAACCTCATGAGAAGCTGGTCGTTTACATATGGGTGCTGTGAAAAAAATTATCATAAGAAGGACAGTCATCAAGGAGAGCGGGAATAAAGACATGTCCCCAAACCGGTCCAGAGCTGCCATCTCTCTGAGCTCCTGGCAGAAGCTCCTGGCAGAGGTTAGTGATCAGCAGAGGAGAACAGGTATCTCCAGCATAGTGCCTGCTGGTGACACTGGGGAATTCTTTGTGGGGGGCATGGGGGATGGCTAAAGGCAAAGGCAAGCAAAGCTTGGCAGTACAGGCAGCACGCTGATGATTTTCAAGGTCTCAGCTTTTAAACAACTATAAGAAGCTGGGCTACTGCATGTGGAACAGTGTTTGTAATACCCACAGGAGGTCTGGTACTGGCTCAGAAAGGTTTATTTAACTGATCAAATGTATTGGAAAAGGTAACTACATTGTTTCAATGTAATCAGTCCCAAAGGGAGAGGGTGATTGTGGAAGGTGAAGTTGTTCAGTACTGGGGAGCACTGGTTTTGAAAGCTGGGCAGTTGGAATGTTCTCAGTAGCTGGGACAATGAAAAGCTAATCACTGGGATTTTTTGCATAGTTATTAGTAACAGCTATGTAAAAATGGGAAATAATTGATTCTTACTCATATTGTTTATGGATTTTTTTTCTATAGACTCATTGCTAAATTGAAACAAATGAGTTGTGGATAACTGTTTAGCAGCAAAATAAAGTTTTCCTGCCTTTAGGTAGAACATGAGATTGAAAGTCCTAAGAGGAATTTTAGCTATTAGTTTTCCTATGGATCTGAAGTAGGAATGGGTTACAGCTCACTGAAAATTTCTTATTAAGAGCAAATCATTAAAGGGGAGCACCAAGCGTTACAAACTTTCAGCTGCCGTGGAATAAATTACCACAGAGAAAGGTGTGAGTGTGTCTAACTCCTGTTACTCAGTATCTTGCAGGGACTCTTAGGCTTAGCAGCAAGGGGATCTGAGGCTTTTCTGGATAGAAGTAAGAATTTTTTTTTTTTTTTTTTTTTCTTATGAGCCAGCAGCAAGAGATTCTATTTATGCTATTTTCCAGTAGCAGAAATAAAAGGGATGTACTTCTGGAATCATACCATGAAGGGGTAACAGAACTTTTAACAAATCTGTAGGTCTCATTCATAAGTTTAAAAAACGAACACAAAACCCAAACGACACACACATGGAAATATCAAAGTCTTTCTAAAGGATTCTGGTTCTTTATCCTGAACAGAAGACTACCTTTTTTTTTTTTTTTTGTGTAATGTACTTATTTTTGTAGTGGCAGTAGCAAGCAGGAGAGGACGCAGAGGCCTGGGAAAAGGTTACTTTCATGGCAAAACATAGTTTGTGGCAATCTGGAGCGACAGCTCGTAGGTTGTGTGCGGACATATTTGAGAGATTACTGTCAGCACTGATAAGGGGTAGGGTTTTTTTTTTTGTTTTTTTTTTTTTTTTTTCCGTTAAAGCCAGAGGGGATGCTGGAACATGCCAAAACCTTTGAACAGGAACTAGTATGTGAACATGTGAACAAATAACCTTCAATAAACCGCAGGTTGTCACACAAGGTCAAACAGGAGTTGTTCCAAAAGCTTGTAATTTCCTGTTGGATATATGAAGTAAAAAGGGTGGACTTTCCACTGACAAAAACTGAGACTGCAGAAATAGGAAGCTTTGGCAGTTATGGAAAATTACTGCACAGTGTGTTAAAAATCAGGAATATATGGTTGTTAGCAGACTGCTCTTCATTTGGTCCATTTTGTTTCACAGCCTCTTTTGTACTGAACATAGACAGGAGAGCAGTTAAAAGGGCTTGTGTAGCGATTGGCTTACGATGACGGCATCCGAAGGTTTTCAGCGAGGAAGCGTCATTTCCCTGCAAAGCAATAGCTGGCAGTGGGAAAGCCACGGCTTCCCGCGGAGGGTGCTCGTGGTCAGGACAGACCGGGTGTCACCTCAGTTGCTCCATTTGCCAAAACTGACCTGAAGAGGCGAGCAAAGCATTGCTTGCTCGAGGGGTGGGTTTGCGCTGAAAGCAGTGGTCTTGCTTGCTTTCTCTTACAGTTTGCGCAAGCGCGGCTGCCATCTGGAGGGGCACCAGGCGGGCGTGCTTGCAGCGCGGCTGGCCCCAGAACGGAGGGAGCAGCTCTGGCAGCTGGGCTGGAGGAGGTGGGGGAGAGATGTGCCCTCTGTCCAGGCAAAGGGGCAGAGGCTGGTCTCTGCAGCAGCCGTCCCTGCCCAACCTTGTGACACACACACAAGGGGTTAGGTGGGCATCAGAGCCGGCTTTAGGCTGCATGAGAACTGGTGCTGACAGTGCCTCTGGGGACACCTGACTGTCACCCCACGTACACTGTTTGCCACATTATCCCATTAACCGTCCAAGTAGTTACACGGGTTGTTTTTATATATGGGCAATTCTAGCCCTGGCACTAGGGACCATCTTGCTGTCCTGAGGATGGGAAGACCTTAATTCCAGAGCTCTGTGCTATAAACCACCTTCCTTTTGTGGTTTTACTGTGAAATGTCTTTCCATTTGTAAAGTGTAAGAAAATGACCAAATAGTGTAAGTCAACTACACAGCAAAATACTGACAGTATGGGATGCAAACTGTCAATCTCTGAGAATCCATCCACTGTCACTTACATAAATGGAACAATAATTGTTTGTTCCCCTTCAGAAATGTGGTTTATGCAGTCTATATAAAGGCAAATTATTTAGTGCAGTGCAGGGAGAATTATTTTTTTCCTATCTGAAACTAATTTAATATTAACTGATGAAACCATTAGAAGATACTGAGCCCAGTATGAATCCCTACGGTGGAATACACGATGTGGAGGAGTGGCTTATCTCACAAAAAGCCTGCCTCCATTTTGGAGGTAA